GATACTAGTAGTCATGACCTCGGCATCATACTAACCAGTTTTCGCACGTATTAGGCCTTACGATGGGTACATATTGTGGTTCAAATAAACTCTCTCGCGAATCTCTTCCTCTATTTCTACAGAAACAAACGTTACAGGAAAGCTCTGCTACAAATGATAGGATTCGAGAAGACACAGGAAATCGAGCGAATAGATCCCAAAGGGCATTGTGCAAGGCGGAACCGTTGCACCGTGGAGCCTATGGACACCGAAGGAGCTCTAGGCTTCAAACGATCACACTCACTTCCAGAGCAGACTCTTGGACTGAGGAACACGAGAGTGTCGAAAGCCACAACGATGGAAAGAAGAATGTCGGCTCCATGTTTGACAAAAACAGACAGCTTGCAAAGCGGAACACAACCCTTCTAGCTAGGTGGTATGATGCAGATAGAAAATAAACCTTGATAGACCATCAGAATTTTTCCATCCTGATAACCAAGCCAAGGGCTCACAGTCATCATGAAAGGTTGAGGTCAAAGTCATTTAATGAAATATCTTTCGAAAGCTATTGAAAATCACACGAAAGTTGAGTGTCAAAGAGAAACCTTAGTGCCATCAGCCATAACGTCTTTAACTGATTGACCATTTTACGGCTGCAGTTAATATCCAGTTTCCTTATCTGCAATTTAAGAAATTCATGGAAAACAGTATGGAGAACATGCAAACTGAGTTAAGGTATAAGAGCGCTGAATGAATTCCTGTCAATACCAATATCCATCTGCAAAAATCCAGTAAATTTTAGGCCTATTTTGATGGCAAAATTTTATCAAGCAATTTGGATCCACCTGTGCAAAAAGACGGGTTGCTTATACATATTTTGGTATTCCGGGATTCTGTCGAATTATTCGGTGCTTAAATTTTGCAACTGCTTACTGGACATATGTCTGTGAGGAAAAATCAAATATAAAATAAACTAAGAGGAAAGAGTCCATATTGACCTGGAGTTCATCGACACTCTTCTTCACGCCGAGGCTCGTAGCGAGAGAGTTTGACCCACTGCTCACCATTTTGAAAGCTAGAATGCACGCAAATGAAATCAAACTTTAAAAAAAGCTAATTGGTATATTCTTTTTTCTAATAGGAAGGGGAGGGCGACAGTAATACTGTCTTCTTAAGGGCCGTTCCAATAGTTTAAATCCAATTTTTTGGCCTTTATGAAGGCATTGGAATCTGTAATTTCATCGATGTTTTTTAGTTCTTGTACAGTACCAAAGGCAAGTTCTACCTGGCCTGAGCCCGCCCAGGCTGAGAACTACTCAAGAAGCGCTGCAAAATGATATATTATTTTTTTCCTTTTATATGGAGACCATATCACCATTCATATCAATTATCATTTATAAAAGTCATCTGAATAATAAAAGCAATTACTTTTGGGTGTACTGCAACTTAAGCGCTGATAAGTCAACTGTTTTTTTAAACGTTCCGCGATTCATCTCGGCTCGGTAAAACTAAAACTAAAATCAAAAACAGAAAAACAAAAAAAAAAAAAAAAAAAAAAAACAAGAACAAAAAAAAAAAAAAAAAAACAAAAAACAAAAAAAAAAAAAAAAAAACAAAAAAAAAAAAAAAAAAAAAAAAAAAAACAAAAAACAAAAAAAAAAAAACAAAAAACAAAAAACAAAAACAGAAAAAACAAAAAACAAAAACAGAAAAAACAAAAAACAAAAACAGAAAAAACAAAAAACAAAAACAGAAAAAACAAAAAACAAAAACAGAAAAAACAAAAAACAAAAACAGAAAAAACAAAAAAAAAAAAACAAAAATAAGGTGATAACCTTGTGTAAAGATCGCAAAAAAAAATTGGCTAAACAAGCACTTTCTACGAAATTTCACTGGACCTAGTTTCCAGCCGCGTTTGTAGTCGTCTTTGGTATATACGTAAAAAGGAATTTTTCCAAAAAGACGGATCGATCGTGATCATGGTCACACGTGACGGGGCTAAATGCAAGCAGTTACTAGGTAGTAGGTTTTCAATTGTCTTGTGGGAACTTTCTACCACTCGATTTTTTTTTCGGAAACCAGCGGCAGCTCAAAAAAGCACCTTTTTATTTGCGGAATTAGCAAAAGGGCGCTCAAGAATCTTTGCGATTCCTATTGGCTGTTCAAGCGACGTTGCATGAAAGCGAGGATAACAGTGTAGAGTCGCCCTCCATAGCCGTGGACTACATTCAAACGGCGAATAATTCTCCCAATATATTCTGTTCCATATTTTCCCGAAAAGAAGAGACGTCGTAACTTAAATTCTAATCACAGCCAGATTAAAGATCGAAGGCATATCAGTTAAATGGTACTTTTCCAAATACCAGGAATAAAGAACTACACTCAAAAGTGTTTGAAATACTCCATGTAGATTTTCTTGTTGATAAAGATTAAGGTTCTTGTCGCAAACGTGGAACAAAGAAAAATTTTGAGTCCCTGTATGAAATTAAGCTTTAGGCTAAGAATTCCTTGCCCCCATTCTCTAACACTGAACAACAGAGACTCTGAGGTTAACGAAGCCATAACTAGCTTTATGTGTGACACGTGCCCTACTGGAATCTGGAATGTCGTTCCACATCCTTCCTATTCTAAAGGGTAAATGGCATTATTGTTTACTAGCTTGGAATTAAACACGATAAATTAGTTTTTCAATTTCAATTTTTTTAAATGGATTCTCTGGGTGTTTCTCTAACCTAATGTCTCATTTCCTCTATTCCGATTCAGTAACAGCTGATACAAAAAAAAGATGTTTTATCCACAATTCGTTTGGAATGACTCCGCTGACGACATTTCGAGATGTCCTCTATAGGAAAAGTTGCGTGTTTTAAATATCCTGCTGGCTTCTGTTACATAAATAATCTTTCCAGAGACCGTGATATATTCTTGAACATTGCTTTACCAAAATAACAACAACAAAAGCAGAGAGGAAAACATTAATTCGAACTTTCCTTGTGAAATAGAGTATAATTTCTTTATTTATTTCTTTCTTTATTTTTTTTTACGTTTAAAGAAGTGTCTTGACTTACAAGTGCCTTAATGTGAATATTCCTACTGAAAATATCTAAAGGCAACTTTCTTCGTTGGTTGTTCTTTATTTCCCTGGAAACATGACATCAAATCATAGCCTGTATCTATCTATGCTTACGTTTCCCATTACATTTATCCCTAGTATCAGACCCCATAGATTCAAAGCACACATCTTTGCAGGCTCTAAATAGGAGATGATGATTCTGCAAAATTAGGCTTTTTATATCTTCCATTCAAAACAGGAAAAAGTGGGCACTCAGGGGCCAGTGTCACTGTTAAATTTGTACAAAGAACTCTGCAAAAAGAAATCGAAGCCTTAAAAATGGCGTCATAGATAAAAAGAAAAAAATACGCAAAATCGAGATAAACATCTCTAAAGAAGTATCGAAATCAGGGGACAGAAATTTTTGCCGATAATACAAAACCCCTCAATGTAGAATCCAAACTTTGTGCGGGAGACAAGGCAACCACACTGCCTTATTTAAACGGTTAGGCTTTCAGTAAAAGGCTACAGCCTACCGAACTATATTTACTTATAGTATAACACTGAGGAAGTGCTTGAGCTTCGAAAAATTTCAACATCAATTCGGAGTCCAATCACAATTACGCCTTAAATTCGAAACTGACATTCCACGTTAATCTAACAGAGAAGAAATCACCCAAAAAACAACCGAAGCAGACATATGCAACAACCATGACCAAGATGCATCCTTTCATCTTCTAATCCTGCAAAAGCCTAGTTCGAAAACGCAAAATATATTCCTTTTAAAGCTAGTGTTCCTTGACTTACAGTCCATACAACTAATTCGTTTGAAGATATTTGAATCAAACTCCTGCAGTAGGTTGTTACTTAAAACTCTGGTGAGATGAAGTAAAACTATGATTTATTGGAGGTGGAGCCTTTTTTTATTGTTCCTTTTCTCTGACATTGTAGACAGAATCACACTTCAAGCATTTGAAACAAATTTTTATTTTTTCCAAGCCACACCTTATAAACTGTAAACCCTGAAAGGGTTTTGGTGTTTTATCAACCCAATGTATCTTTCATTTTATCAAATGAAAAACGGTTTAAACCAAAGATTTTAACATGAATATGAAGTCGGACGAGAAACCCATCGTGCCATTTTCAATTGTTTTCCCCAGTAAAAAGGATCTCAATGGAGATTGCCCCAGGAATGCCACTTGTCAGATGTCAAACACGTTAAAGCTCTTTTCAAAGAGCTTATAAAAGCCATAGCAACGTAGACAAAAACTCATTACTGGCTGAAAATTATGTTATGATCAAAATGACACCAACGTAAAGGGACTGAAGTGAACAACAGATCTGAGAGCGATACTGCGTGAATTTTATATTCAAGATATCTTTGCGATGAAAGTGCAATTTAATCCACCTATGGCTTTTTCTTACCCTATCTAATATAAAAAGAAAATCAAAGAAATTGATCATTTCATTTCTATAGACAACAATCAAACGTATGCAATATCAATCAAACATGTATGGAAATGCATGCATAGTATGTATAGTATCCACACGTTCTTGTTTTAACCTCACACAGGCTAATTTTGAGAACATAAAATGTTTTCATTTAAAGGCTAGGGCATGTTGACTTGGAGAGTTTCCGGCAGAGTAGTTTTTTGAAAAATATTTAAATCCAGCTTCCTCTTTTTCTTTGTTGTATTGTGAAATTAACCTATCACAAATACAGCCTTATTTTCCTCTTATCACTAATTCAAATTCGCGCAGAAAAACTGGCTTTTTTTTTTTCTTTCGTTTGACAAACCGCACAGCGTTCGGGCATTTTACATAGTCAGACGCTAGTGATGAATTTTAATTCTTTGCAGTTGTTATTCAGAAACTAAAGTTAAACTGATCTTGACTGGGAGGGTGCTGTAAAGACGAATTATTCCTCGTTGAAACTAAGGATAAACTGCAAAAGAGTGGAAACGACTGCAGGATGATGGCGACAACAAATATAACGAGAAGTGGAACACAGACGACAACATTTGAAAGATTGGTATGCAGTCCGGTTTGGGTAGGTGAGTTTAAACAACAGTCCATTTCATTCTCGGCAGTCAACATTCTCCTCTCCATCACAGCAACTCTTGGGAATTCTCTTATCCTTGTTGCCCTTCACAAGGAATCTTCTCTCCATCCGCCATCCAAACTCTTGTATCGCTGTCTGGCAACAACTGATCTTTTGGTTGGTCTCGTTACCCATCCTCTCTATGCTACTTATTGGATGTCCTTGGTTCACGAACATTGGAGTCTTTGTCGATACGCGAGGGAGGCAAGCTACATAACAGGCTTTACTTTGTGTGGAGTTTCTCTGTTTACAATGGCGGCCATAAGCGTCGACCGACTTCTTGCCATGTTGTTGGGACTGAGATACAAAGAGATTGTAACTTTAAGGCGTACGTACTTCATTCTAGCTATCTTTTGGGTTGTATGTCTAGTCGCTGGTTTATCCTCTCATCTGAATTATCGTATAACCTTTTGGAACACCCTTATAAGTATATCATCTTGCTTGGTAATCTCAGCCGCCTCGTACGCAAAGATTTTCCGCGCTCTCAGTCATCATCGAGCTCAAATACAAGATCATGCTCAACAACAGCCGAGCCGACCAAATGCACTGAACATGGCGCGATACAGAAAGGCAGTCTACAATGCGCTGTGGGTGCAGTTAGCTTTAATTGTCTGTTATGTGCCACAATTTGCAGTGAGAATTGTGATCTTTCTTAGTGCAAAGAGATTTTCGAATTTCTTCTTAATCTACGGAATGGCAATTGTCTTAATGTTTTTTAACTCTACTTTAAACCCGTTCCTTTTCTGCTGGAAGATAAGTGAAGTGAGACGAGCAGTAAAGCAGACAATCAGACAAGCAATCTGCTATGCATAGGGATAGACCTATTTTAACGTTGGCATGTACTGTTTCTTCCATAGGTAATTTGGAAATTGTCATATCTTTGAGTTTGAAACCGATTATCGAATTTCATCATAATCTGGGCCATGGCGAATGTTTTAGTTTTCTTTAATGTGACTTTAAACCCGTTTCTTTACTGTTAATTTTAAAAGCACTTTTCTTGCCGAATTTGAATATTCATGAATATTACGTGACTCTATCATAGGCCGTGTAAACACAGGTGGTCTTATGAGAAAACACTCTCTCAATTCATGACAATCGAGTGCAAAAGTTGCTATTACGCGCTCTTGAGTACCTAGCGCTGCTTTATTAAAAATGGTTTGTATGACAGCTCACCACTGCAAGGATCATTTTCGTGCTTAAAATTCATGTGATGGTCAAAAATGATCTGTGTCATTAAAATTCTGGAAAAATGAATAAGTATAATGGAAGGACAAAGACTTTGGTTAATAAACTACTACGCTCTAACCTCTTTTATGTGGTTTCTTTTAACATTTCCCTTTCTTCCTTAGGACCGTTACGAATATCACCGAATGAAAAGGGGCTGTATGCAAATGTTTGATGAGTAAATTATAAGAAAAAGCTAACGTTGCCATAAACGTTATAAATGAAGGTATATCTCGTAGATAAAATGAGAATCAAATAAATTTGGTCAGAGATGTTTAAAACTTCAAAATTATTTATCAATCGACGGATTTCCGACCGCGATTTCTTGATATCGTAGATCAATGTTTTTAAATACTCCAGAAAATTTTAAAAATGTTCGTTTATTTACTTTGTCTTGCTGAGTCATGAGCTAAGCCAGACAAGCCAGACCGAAACTGATCTTTAGATAGAATATGATGAAATGATGTAGAATGTCCCAAGCTGTTAAGCATATCTGTATTAGCAGGGCTCATATGTAGTTGCTGTTGTTATCACCAGCCTTTTCCAGGTGTTCATTTAGTAAAACGGAGCAAAATGGTACAGGGCACGATAGTAGCGGTGGAGTGATAAAACGGGGGAGTTTTGGGTCGGGTCGGGTCGGGTCGGGTGAACGACTTGACCCAAGCCTCACTCTTTTTCGATCCACCCTCACGATCGCGCCGTTTATTGTGCACCTCGTTTTACTAGCTAAACGCCTCAAACAGGCTGTGTTATCACTCGATAAGCTGTCAAAAAAAAAAAAAAAGCTGTGATGCAGAATAAAAGAGACTATCACATATATTTTCTTCGAGTCAGTAGTGAAGCCATTTATTACGAAAGAGGAACCGAGGGGAAAAAATGAATGCAACCACCTGTCGTATACTTAACAACTTTAACTGTTACTACGGTAATCTTTTGCAATCAAATAATGACTAAGCACAAAAAAATTGAAATAGTTTATCTTACTAGATGGTTTATTAATCAAGCAATTCAAGAAGGTTTCCGTAGCTTTATGCTTTGCGCCTATGAAATAATTGAATATTATTATTCGGTTGCAAAACCGTATTGCAGAAAAAAAGCTATTACATGTATAGTTTTTCAAAAAACAAAAAACAAAACCTTAGCTGAAACAACATGGTATTGGTGACCATAGATTCATCCAAAGGAAGTCTTCGAATTGCTTCCTGGCCAAGTAACATCTGCGCTGCAATCTTTTTGTTTTTCAGTTTGCCGTACGTATGTTATCATAATTCTGACAAGTTTCGATATCACAACATTTGCATAAGCACTTCATCATTTGTCAATAGCTTTCAGTGAAGGTTTTCCTTAGTCAAACAGAGATGTTTTCACTTTTTTTTTGAAACGATGGTCACAGAGAGTATAAATTTGTTCCTGTTATACGATGCCAGATCCAAAATGTCGTTTACTGATTACAGGTAATTAAGACAAACAGTAATGTTCGGTAGCAAACTTCCGCCTTAAAACCAGAGATAATTTGCACATACAATGTCTCCCGCAAGAGAAGCATTTGAATTATTTACGATTTTTTGACCGACATTTCCCCCTTTTAAAAGGTGAGACACGTAGAGACCAAAAATTTTAAATCTTTCTAGAAATTAACTTTGCATCTCTAACCAAGATTGAAAATTGGACTTTTTCTCTTAGTTTTCTTAAGCTGTTAACAATTAATGGCGTCCCAAGATCCCGTGAATTGATAATTCACGCTATTATTTGGGTAAGGGAACGACTCCGATCCAAACAACACGTCGGCCGATACGTTGATCAAGGCGTAAGCCGACGGCAATCGGTCGACTATCGCCATCTTTCGGTCGACTTTCGATATCCTATCACTAAAGGTTTATTTGAGTAAAGAAGTTTTTTATGTTTTGTTGGGATATTAACCTATCACAAGAGCAGTTTAATTTTCCCCTTACTACTAATTAAAATTCGCGCATAAAAACTGGTCTTTTGCTCTCTTTCGTGTCACAAACCTCACAGCTTTCGGACATTATACATAGTCAGATGCTAGTGATGAATTTTTACTTCCTGTAACTAATATCCAAAAGCTAACGTTCAACCGACCTTGACTTATAGGATACTGTTAAGACGAAATATTCCTCGTTGTAACTAAAGATAACCTGCAAGAGAAAGGAAACGACAGCAGGATGATGGCGACAACAAATCTAACGGAAAGTGGAACACATACGCAAGCATTTGACAAATCGCTATGTTCCCCAGTTTGGGTAGGTGAGTTTAAACAACAGTCCATTTCATTCTCAGCAGTCAACATTCTCCTCTCTATCACAGCAATTCTTGGGAATTCTCTTATCCTTGCTGCCCTTCACAAGGAATCTTCCCTCCATCCGCCATCCAAACTCTTGTATCGTTGTCTGGCAACGACTGATCTACTGGTTGGTCTTGTTACCCAGCCTCTCTATGCTGCCTACTGGATGTCCTTAGTTCACGAACACTGGAGTCTTTGTCGGTACTCAAGGGACGCAGTCTACATATCAAGCTATGCACTATGTTCAGTGTCTTTGTCGACGTTGACGGCCATAAGCGTGGACCGACTTCTCGCCAAGTTGTTGGGGCTAAGATATAAAGAGATTGTAACTTTGAAGCGCACGTATATCATTTTAGCTATCGTCTGGGTTGTATGTCTAGTCACTGGTTTATTCTCTCGTCTCGATTACCGTATAACCCTATGGTGCACCCTTATAGTTACACCATCTTGCCTGATAATCTCAGTCGTCTCGTACACAAAGATTTTTTGCGCTCTCGGTCATCACCAGGCTCAAATACAAAGTCATGTTCAACAACAGTCGAGACAACTAAATGCATTGAACATGGCGCGATACAGAAAGGCAGTCTACAATACACTGTGGGTGCAGTTAGCATTAGTTATCTGTTATGTACCACTTTTTACGGTGAAAATTGTAATCTTTCTTAGTACAGAGAGATCTTCGAATTTCTTCTTAATATATGGAATGGCAACTGTCTTAATTTTTTTTAACTCTACTTTAAACCCGTTTCTTTACTGTTGGAAGATAACTGAAGTGAGACGAGCAGTAAAGCAGACAATCAGACAAGCAATCTGCTATGCATAAGGGTAGACCTAATTTAACGTTGGCAGGCTCTATAACTAATTTGAAAATTCTGATATGGAATTTCATCATAATCAGGAGCATGGGGAATGTTTTAGTTTTCTTTAACTCGACTTTAACCCCATTTCTTTGCTGTTATTTTAAAAGCATTCTTATCACCAAACTCGAATATTCAAGGGGAATACGTGACTATCACAGGCCGTGTACACAAAGCTGGTCTTATGAGCAAAACATGCTCTCATTTCATGACAATCGAGTCGAAAGCTGCTCTTGAGTTCCTAGCACTGCTTCAAATTAAAAGGTTTGTACGACAGCTCACCGCTGCAAGGATCATTTCCGCGCTTAAATTTCATCTGATGGTCAAAAATTGATTTGTGTCATTAAAATTCTGAAAAAAAATGAATAAGTATAATGGAAGGAATAAGAATTGGTTTAAAAACTACTACGCTCTAACCTCTTTTACGTGGTTTCCTTTAGCATTTCCCTTTCATTCTCGAGATTGTCACGAATATCACGGAATGAATAAAAGGTTGTATGCAAATTTTTGATGTGTAAACAATATGAATAGGTTGACGTTGCCATAACTGTCATAAATGAAGGTATATTTCACAGATAAAATGGGAATCATATAAATTTGGTCGGTGATGTTTAAAAGTTCAAATTATCTATCAGGATCGACTGATTTCCGACCGCGATTTCTACATATCGTAGAATTTTGTTCTAAAGTACTCCAGAAAATTTTGAAAAATGCTCTTTCATTTATTTTGTCTTGCTTAGTCATGAGCTTAGCTAGGCAAGCTAAGTGAAACTAATCTTTAAACTGAATATGATGAAATGATGTAGAATGTTCCCTCGAGTTAGGAAGGGTGAAGACTCTTGCGCATAGAGGAGATAAGATATGTAAAGAGTATATGTACAAATGAAGGACATAAAAAACCTTCTTCATCCTCTTCTACCAACACGCCTAGACAATACCTGTCCCTACACCCTAAGGCACAAATTAGATCAGCTTTACTTTTACAGAAACATTGCTACTTGTAGAACGAAGCGCACGGAAGATTTTTTCACTATTAAGGATTTATAACAAATGTGATGCATGTTCTGGTGTAGCGTATATAATTTGTACTTAACATATACAGAAATGTACATAGTTGATCTTATTGAGTTTTCAGTGTATTATAACTCGTTAATTCAGTAAGTTACTGCAAGATAGTTTACTAAACTGTTATTATAATGTCACAGGCTGTTAAGCACATCTCTATAAGCAGAGCTCATATTTAGCTGCTGTTGTTATCACAAGGCTTTCGTTTAGTAAAACGGAGCGAAATGGTACATGGCACGATAACAACCGTGGAGTGAAAAAACGGGGAGGCTTAGGTCGGGTCGGGTCGGGTCGGGTCGGGTCGGGTTGGGTCGGGTCCAGATCGGTACAGATCGAGTCAGGAGAACGTTGTTCTTTACCCGATGGACTTAAGCCTCACTCTTTTTTCGTTCCGCGGTAACTATCGCGCCGTTTACTGTGCACCTCGTTTTACCAGCTGAACGCCTCGAACAGGCTATGTTGTCAATCAATAAGCTGTCAAAAAAAAAAAATACTGTGATGCAGAATACAAGTGACTACTACAGATTTTTTTTTCCAGTCAGTAGTGGAGCAACTTATTACGAAAGAGGAATCGAGAGTTAGACAAAATGAGTGCAATCATCTGTAGTATACATGACAACTTAAATCGTTTTAATGGTAGTTTTTACTTTTATTTTTTGAATGTCGGTTTGGACCATTACGTTTATTTTTACCCATAAAAAACCTGGGCTAAAATAACATGGTCTTGGTGACCATAGACTCATCCAAAGGAAGTCTTCAAACTGCTTCCTGACCGAGTAACATCTACACTGCAACCTTTTTTCTTTCAATTTGCCGTACGTATGTGATCACAATTCTGACAAGTCCCAATATCACAGCGTTGGCTAAGCATTTTGTCATAAGTCAGTAGCTTTCACTAAAGGTTTTCCTGAGTCAAACATTGATTTTTTCACAATTTCTTTCGAAACAATGGTCACAGGGAGTATAAATTTGTCCCTGTTATACGATGCGTTATCCAAAATGTCGCTGACCAATTCGATAACAAGGTAACTAAAACAAACAGCATTGTTCAGAAGCAAACCTCCGCCTTAAAACCAGAAATAATTTGTACAGGTAATCACATGATTTCGAGTGCAATTTAGAATAAATAAGCACGTGTAAATTTTTTTAAAGACTAACAAAATTGCATGAGCCCATAGGGCGAGTGCAATTTGTGTTCTTTGAAAAAAAATAACAAATGCTTGTTTATTCTAAATTACACAAGAAAAATCATGTGATTACGTGTTAATAATATACATGGAAAAATACGAGATGTCCTATCATAAATAGGCATAAGTAAAGCGCGCGCATCGAGTGAAAAAATAATTTATTCAAACCGTGCGTTCGGTCAAAACAACCGCGTACGATCAAACTATAACATGCAATGATATCTTCACACCTTTAAGGCGCAAAAAAAGTTCAAAGTTCGGCTAAACAGTTCAAGGAATTTTTCGGTCTGTGTCCGAATCACTTTCGATGAAATGGAATCGAGGTTTAACCATGCTTGTTTTTAATTTTGGCATTGGATCGCTCGAGCAAAGTGTTAAGCTGGGTCGGCTCGTAATTTCCGATTTCCTTGTCAATTCCCTTCTCTAAACACCACTTTTCCAAACCGACAACCAAAAAGCAGTGCTTTTTACAGTTTTTTCGTTGTTTGAGCTATTTTTCAGCTGCGATGACGAAAGAAAACCAACTGAAAACGCCGGCCATTGTTTCGCTCGCAAATTTTCAAATTTTGTTCCGACATCCAAGGCTCGCATTTGATTGGCTATATGTAAGTTTCTTTGATTATTGACCAATCAGAATGTCTAGTTTGTTACTTTCTTTGCACCGAATCAATTATCTTCTGCACTGAATTACCTGAAAACTGCATTTATCTTAACCAATCAGAACTGAGTAATTTCTCCATGTATATTATTAGCACATAAAATGTCTCCGGTGAGAAAGAGAGCTGTTGGAAAAATGCTTCTCACAGAAGTAATCACCACTGAACCATGCCAGTTTAAAGCGAGGACCAAAGAAAGAGGGTCAGCTTGGACAGAAATTGCGGAGCGTTTAGCTAGTTGTGGATTAAAGGTGACAAAAAGATCAGTACGAGAAAAATTTGACAAATTGATGAAAGATTTCCTAAAGAAGGAAAGCGAAGAGAAAAAACAAAGTGGAGTATAAGGTCTAGATCAGACCAGATCAGATTAGATCAGTCCTTAAAGGACATAAAGGAAAGAACGGCAGAATTTGAAGAACTGAGAGAAGGCGAGGAACAAAAGCAGAAAAAAGAGAAAGCTGCCGCGGAAGAAATGATAAGGCAAGCGACTGAAAAGTTGTCTGAGACCAAAAAGAGAAAAGCCAGCTTAGAATACCCCAATGTAGACGACAAAAGTCCACTAGGTAAAAGAAAGAAGAGCACAAGCATGGTTGATGTTGTCAAGGAGATCGTCGAGTTAAAAAACTGGCAACAAGAACGTTATGAAAGAATAAATAAGAGGGAGTTGGATCTCAGAGCTTCAGAGATGCAACAACAACAATTGTTCGAACAAAGTCTTTTGCAGCAACAGCACCAATTCCTACAACAACAACAGGCATTGAACGTGTCTATGATGTCTGCTCTTACCGAGTTACTAAAGGTAAGAGGTAAAGGTTATTAAGAAATAGGCCCCTCAGGAACCTTCTGTTATTACATGTATGCATCGACGTTGGGAAGAACTTTGACATTTATATTCACAAATACACTTTAAAAACTATTTTCATATTCTCTAATTTCATCAAGTACCTATTTTATTGAAAATAATTTTTCTTTTTGCTTTAAATTGTCGTCAAATAAATATTTGATTACTAAATTTTAACAGCTTTTCAATCATATTTGCATTTCATTGTAATATATTTTCCAGCATTTCTTCAAGTACATATTTTATAGAAAATAAGTAATTTTAGGTAAGTAAGTACTTTTTATTGTACTTTTTTCCATATTTGCATTCTCATACAGTTACTCTCAGAATTTTGCTGTTACCCAATATCAATATCATACACGTGAAAGGCTGCCATGGAACTAGGGATAATTGTGTTTTTGGCAATTTGGAAATCATGGCAATAATAACAAATGGGCTTAGATCTATTTTAAGATTTTTCTTAAAGTCAAGTAATGCAAAATAAGTTGAAATGTCACCAAAAACCGACTCAACCGCTGCTCTGACAGTGCTCATCGAAGAGTTGAAACTTTATTGTTCTGCTGTTAAATGGGCATCATGGTATAGTGCCTGAAGATGTATTCTGAAGAGATATGCAGGATCACCATAGATGTACAACGGTTGTCCTGTTAGTGAATACGCATGATGGTTCAGCTCTGTCAGCAGGCCTGACATGCGCAGCATTCCTGCATCATGCCGTCATCCTCCTGGAAGGGGCAAAAACATACATGTACGTAAGTCAGTTTCAAATGGGCTAGCATACTGAGAAGTACTAGTAACAACAAAAGGTGTGGTTTAGATAAGTATATCCTTCCCAAATAAGGTCATTGAAAATTTAAGGAGATTGGGGGTTTCAAAAGCCAAAATTTTAAAGGAAAGTGTAAAGCTAAACTGGAATTTTTGAAAAGGTGCCGTTGGTAAGAATTTAAAAAATAAACCAATAAACCTATGGGGAGGTATGGATATTTTCTGGAACACCCCACAAATTACCAATATTTAAACAATGTTCTTGACTTTTTGTTTTATTATTATTATTTTTTAATTCAAGCCATGTGCGAGTCAGTGGCAGATCTATTGTATGTTGTGGGCATGTGACAAGGTTGTGCTCACATTAAAATCTATTAACCCTCATCTTTCTTAATTTTTCTGAAATTTTCCTATACACACTAAGACACCCTGATGACTCAAACCAAAAGTTGTTTCCCTTGGATTTGTTTCACTCAAACGTGGATTTTTACTCCCGATTCCTCAAACTCAAACTCAAATTTCTCGAACCAATTTTCGTTTGCCTTCCAGGTTGAAGAACTTGGGAATCCACCACATTAAATTGCTGCAGTATGTGGGAAAGGATAAAAGAGATAGTGGAAGAATTTAATAGTCAATTAATAATAATAATAATAACTGAATGCAATAACTGAATGCAATAACTGAATGCAATAAGTATGTCAACAAGGACCTTAACTTGTGCCTAAATATAACGATATAATAAATTACTGATCGACAATTAAATCATGTATATGAAATGTCTCACCAACTGGACCATAGAGGTTAGCTATCATCCCATTAGGTGCAACAACTGATTGGAATTTTAATTCGTGTACCCTTTTATGCCCATTGTATAGCACTCTCTGGTGTTCTCCTGGTCTGGCAATTGGTCGAACTGTGCCATCCACGAACCCCCAACAATTAGACAACGCAGATCCTCTGCCGGAAATTGCATCTGCAAAGCTCTACAAACAATCGGGCTGCAGCCAGGGCTAGTTCAAGCTTTGTAAAGTATACTCATAGTTAACAAAGGCGTAACTTGAAACTTCCGAGGTAATCTCGCTTAGTTCAAGTACAGATCTCCCGAACATTGGAATTAAGTCGCTCAATCTGCATGGGTATGCAAATCTTCTTCAAACAAACCTTCCATGCCAGTTGCTACAGTCCCGTTTCTACATACAAATGTATCAGGAATGGCCAGCACTTTTGCTGACAGGGGCAATTCAGCAAGTCCAAAACGAAATTCAGCCTTGCGTTCTTCGTCCGTGACGCGAGTCAAGTCAAAGCGATCAGAAAGGACGCATTTTTTTTGGTTAACCTTTCGAAAAGCATCGAAAACTTGACATCCTCTACGAACATAAATGCCAGAGCATCTTGTGTGGTTTGTCTGCTAAACATTTCCACGACTGACAAAATGTTGCCACTTCGTACTCACAACAAGTACTAAAACATTTTTGTTGCGAGCTGACAACGGCGACGACTGTGTTTACAAAAGCTAAGCCCTAGGCCTCCCGCGCGCAAAAGTCGTACTCGTAGTCGTAGTCGGATCTGAAGGTCAACAATGCATAATTCGCGCAATTATCCGGGTAAGGCGACGAATCCGATCCAAACAACACGTCCGAGTGTCGACCGACTGTCGGTCGACTTTCGATATCCTGAAGGTTTATTTGAGAGAAGAAGTTTTTTCTGTTGTGTTAGGAGAAATGTAATTTTACCTCCTCCTTTTTACTCATCAGCTTTCGGGAATTTTACAAGCTCCGACGCTTTACGAATGTTTTTTTTATCCTCTGTAACTGCTATTCAAAAAAGGAAAGTTTAACTGATTTTGACTCGGAGTATGCTGTTAAGACGAAATATTCCTCGTTGTAACTAAGGAAAACGAGCAAAAGAGTGGAAACGACAGCAGGATGAAGGCAACAACAAATATAACGGGAGGTGGAACAAACGCGCAGACATTTGACAAATCGCTATGCTCCTTGGTTTGGGTGGATGAGTTTAAACAACAGTCCATTTCATTCTCAGCAATCAACATTCTCCTCTCCATCGCAGCAATTCTTGGGAATTCTCTTATCCTTGTTGCCCTTCACAAGGAATCTTCACTCCATCCGCCATCCAAACTCTTGTATCGTTGTCTGGCAACGACTGATCTATTGGTTGGTCTTGTTACCCAGCCTCTGTACGCTACCTATTGGATGTCCGTGGTTCACGAGCACTGGAGTCTTTGTCGATACTCTTTTGACGGATGTGGCGTAACAGGCTATGCATTATGTTCAGTGTCGTTGTCGACACTGACGGCCATAAGCGTGGACCGACTTCTCGCTATGAAGTTGGGACTGAGATACAAAGAGATTGTTACTTTGAGGCGCACGTATATTATTTTAGCTATTGTTTGGGTTGTATCTCTAGTCGCTGGATTATTCCGTCATCTCGATGACCGTATAACCGCTTGGTACAGTCTTATAGGTGTATCATGTTGCCTAGTTATCTCCATCGCCTCGTACATTAAAATTTTTTGCGCTCTCAGTCATCATCAGACTCAAGTGCAAGATCACTTTCAACAACAGCCGATCCAAGCAAATGCACTGAACATTGCGCGATACAAGGAGGCAGTGCACAGCGCACTGTGGGTGCAGTTAGCTTTAATTGTTTGTTATGTACCATTTTTTATAGTCGAAAGTGTAATTACTCTTACTAAAGAGCGATTTCGGCATTTCGTCATAATTAATGGGATGGCTGTTGTCTTGGTGTTATTTAACTCTACTTTAAACCCGTTTCTTTACTGCTGGAAGATAAGAGAAGTGAGACGAGCAGTAAAGCAGACAATCAGACAAGCAATCTGCTATGCGCATAGGGGTAGACCTATCTTAACGTTGGCATGTACTGTTTCTTCTACAGCTTATTTGGAAAAATTGTAATTGTTAGGAGTGGGGGGAAGAAATGCCATTTCATGACAAGAAGAGTTAGGAAAAATATGAGGAGCTACCTCTAAATAGCATATTGTACTTGAATTATCGAACGAACAGCTAACAGGCGAAAAATTGTAGTTTAGTAACCATAACAAAACAATAACTTCGCCAATTTGCGCATTTGTAATGAAGTAGTGAAGGCTATCAGTTATTTTGGAATCAGAATGCGCTCAGGATTTTTCATAGCGATCAAATCTTGATGAGATACATTTCATCTTAGGTCAGAAATATGGTTTCTTGATAACGCGCTGTTAATGGACCCAGCCGCTTGATTTTGTCATGATTGGGAATTAGTTATTGGGTTTTCAACGAAACATTGTAAATTAAAGATGCGGCGTTTGTTAATGTCTGCTTAAATACACTGTAGGGAATGCTTATAAAAGAAGTTTATTATCTCTATTTCACATGGAGTTATTGTTTGAGACCAAGATGATTTGCAAAAAAAAGGATTGTCCCAAGTGAAGGAGAATTCGTAATGTTAATGATGTTTGAAGTAAATTAATTTTGAATAGTTTTATTTGATCCAGTTTTTATTTTTCCCAGTACCAATTAGCGTCTTTAATAAAGGCTTTTACCTTCAACTAAGATAATTCACGGCGTCCTAAGGTTGCATAAATTATATCAAAAGTCGATAAACCACCTTATCAATGAAAGTTTATATGGGTAAACAGGGTTTTTGTAGTCATATTGTGAAATAATTCTACCACAAGTGTATATTTGCTTGCGGTTTGCTGCTAATTAAAATTCGCAGAAAAACCTGGCCCCTTTTTTCTTTGTCGTAAAACACATCAGACAGCTTGTCAGAGCATTTTGCATAGTCAAATGCTACTGATGAACTCTTTATGTAATTATTATTCACAAATTGAGGTTTGGCTAATTTACAAGATCATGTTTGACAACAGCCGAACAAAACAAATGCACCGAACATGGCGCGATACAAAAAATATCTTAAAGTTTAAACCGATTATCAAATTTCTCCATAATCGGGGGCATAGCGAATGTTGCAGTTTTCTTTAACTCCACATTTAAACTCGTTTCTTTAGCGTTGGAAGATCAAAGATGCGAGACAATCAGATATGAAATTTGCCATGTTTTGTTTCTTCCAAAGCTGTTTGATTAATTAGAGCAAATAATTTGAAAGGCACCTTTATTAACAAATTCGAATATTCAAGAAGAGTTATGTCTCTATCACAGGCCGTGTACACACAACTGGTCTTATGAGAAAACATTTTCTCATTTTAATGACAATCGAGTACAAAAGCTGCTTACACCCGCTCTTAGGTACCTACCGCTGCACCTAACGAAAAAGATTTGTATGACAGCTCACCACTGCAAGGATCATTCCCGCGTTTGAATTTCATCTGATGGCCAAAAAAATTATTTATGTCATTCAAAATTCTGAAAAAAAGGTGAATAATTATAATTGAAGGAATTAGTTTCCATAAATAAAAAATATATATGATCGATAAAACGAGAATCAAATAAATTTGGTGGGTGATGTTTGCTAGTTCAAAAATATTTATCGATCGACTGATTTCCAATAACGATTTATAGATATCGTATATTTACGTTTTAAAATAATCCAGAAAAATGTTTAAACGTTTCTTTATTTACTTTGTCTTGCTAAGCCATGAGCTGCGCCAGGCATGCCAGGCTGAAACCGATCTTAAAATAGAATATAATGAAATGATGTAGAATGACCCAGGACATTAAGCATGTCTATGTAAGCAAAGCTCATATTTAGCTGGTGTTCTCATCACTAGCCTTTTCCAGGCGTTCATTTAGTAAAACGGAGCGAAATGGCACACAGGAGGATAGTAGCGGCGGAGTGGAAAAACGGGTCGGGTGAAAGCCGTTCTTTACCCGTCTCGACCCAGTCTCACTCTTTTTACGCTCTGCCGTGACTATCGCGCCGTTAACTTACTTTGCACTTCGTTTTACAATACAATACAATACAAAGACTTTATTTAAACACGATAATTGTTAAAGCGACTACACGCTTGTGGGGTCGTGCGTAAAATGGAATAAAATGAAATGTAGTAAAATACAATAATTAAAGTAGCCTATCAAAATTAGAAGATCTAAAAATATTTAAAATTGGGGTCCTTAAAATTCACTGTCTGTGGAGAAATGGAATTAAAGTTCAAATTTAAAAGTGCCTTTGATTTGTAGGCTAACGAGGAGAGCTGCTTAATGGTTATATTTCTTAAATTTGATTCTTGGAGAAGTGTGTTAAAAACGATAGGTCCTCTTCTGGAAAAACTGTTTTTCATGTAATATGTATTGAATTTTGGTACTTTTATGTTGGCATTACTTCTTAGATTTTTCTTAGTATTCACGTCAACTTCTTCGGTGGTATCTAAGATGGATATAGGTAAAGTCTTATATCCATCGTTTTGCAAGCTGAACGCCTCGAAGAGGCTGTGTTGTCACCCGATAAGCTATCAGTAAAAGCTGTGATACAGACTTCAAGTGACTACAACAGTAGACAAGACAAAGTTTAGTTTTTCGGGAAAAAAAACAAAACAAAACAAAAACAAAACCTTAGCTTAAATAACATAGTATTGGTGACCACAGATTCATCCAAAGGAAGTCTTACAAATTACCTCCTGACCAAGTAATATCTGCGCTGCAATCTTTTTGTTGTTCAGTTTGCCGTAGTATGTGATCATAATTCTGACAAGTACCGTGATCAGAGCGTTAGCATAAGCACTTCATCATCTGTCAATAGCTTTCAGTGAAGGCTTTCCTTTGTCAAAAACTGATGTTTTTTGCCATTTCTTTTGAAACGATGATCACAGAGAGTGTAAATTTGTCCCTGTTATACGATGCTATTTCCAAAATTTCGTTTACGAATTAGATAAACAGGTAACTAAGACAAACAGCATTGTTCGGTAGCAAACTTCCGCTTTATATCAAGATGTAATTTGCACACAGCATGTCTTCCGTGGGAGGAATATTTGAGTTATTTGGATCTTTTGAGAAACATTTCCACCCTTTGACAAGTGTGACATGTAGAGAAAAAAATTCAAATATTTTTAGAATAACTTTACATCTGCAATCTACATTAATTTTGAAATTGGACTTTTTCTCCCAGTTTGCCTAACCTGATAACAATTCATGTCGTCCCAAGTCACGTGAATTAATAATTCACGCTAGGCAGCGAATCTGATCAAATTCGTCAGTGTCGGTCGACTGTCGGTGTCTTATCAATGAAGGTTTGTTTAAGTGAGGAGTTATTTTTTTTTCTGTTGTATTATGAAATCAACCTATCAAAAATGCAGTTTTGCTACCCCTCTTATTGCTAATTCAAATTCCAGCTAAAAAAACCGGCCTTTTTTTACTTTTGTGTGACAAACCTCGCAGCATTCGGGCATTTTACATAGTCAGATGCTACTGATGAATTCTCACTCTCTGTTGTTGCTATCCAAAAACTAAGGTTTAACTGATCTTGACTTGGAGGCTGCTGTAAAGACGAAATATTTTTCGTTGTTACTAACTTAAGGATAATTTGCAAAAGAGTGGATACGCAATATGCAATCTAGCTTTCGATTTTTTCTATGCCGATAAACCTTTCAAAAATTGGCATTTTAGATATGGAAAATTAAATAATTAAGATGGTAAATTTTTGGCACGTTACTAAACCAGAGAAAAAATGTTTTTTGTCTTGTCACGTGCGTAGAACAAAGAAGAAACCTTGAGTCTCCCCACAGGAAAGTATTAGGAAAACTTTTTACCATAACTTTCACGGATGTACGCAAAAGTGGGTCAATAAAAACCAGTGAAGCTCCGATTTTGTTGTGTTGAAAAATACTGGAGACAGTTACAAGTAAAACGCACGGTAAAGGTTCAGACTGTTTTGTATACTTTACTCGACGCCTCAAATAACTTTATAATGCGTTTTCTTTGCAAATGAATTGTTTGCCCATGGATCAATTTGAGTCCAGATAAAAAAGATGAAATTAAACATACTTCCAATATCAGAAAAGTTTCATTAGGAACGGTCGATTTACTTCATGTTACTGGAACAAAAGGAGACAAAATTATGGAAATTTTTCTCGTCTAAATAGTGCATCATCTGTAGAACTGATGTAATGATATGAATGTTCCTGGTTCCAATGGCACAGTTATTAGTGTTGGTCTGAGAACAATTCATTGCGTCTCAAGATGCACGTGAATGAATAATTCACGTAATTATCCGGGTAAGGCGACGAATCCGATCCAAACAACACGTTCGAGTATCGAGCGACTGTCGGTCAACTTTCGATATCCTGAAGGTTTATTTGAGAGAAGAAGTTTTTTTCTGCTGTGTCGGGACAAATGCAATTTTACTTTCTCCATATTACTAATTCGAATTCACGCAGTAAACATAGTCCTTTTTTTCTCTTTCGTGTGACAAACATCACAGCTTTCGGGAATTTTACAAGCGCAGGAGCTATACTGATGATTTTATATCCTCTGTAATTGCTATTCAGAAATGAAAGTTTAACTGATCTTGACTTGGAGTACGCTGTTAAGGCGAAATATTCCTCGTTGTAACTAAGGAAAACGCGCAAAAGAGTGGAAACGACAACTGCAGGATGATGGCGTCAGCAAATATAACGGGAAGTGGAACAAACGCGCAAACATTTGAAGAATCGCTATGCTCCTCGGTTTGGGTAGGTGAGTTTAAACAACAGTCCATTTCATTCTCAGCAATAAACATTCTCCTCTTCACCACAGCAATTCTTGGGAATTCTCTTATCCTTGTTGCCCTTCACAAGGAATCTTCCCTCCATTCGCCATCCAAACTCTTGTATCGTTGTCTGGCAACGACTGATCTATTGGTTGGTCTTGTTACCCAGCCTCTCTATACTACCTACTGGATGTCTTTGGTTCACGAACACTGGAGTCTTTGTCAGTACGCAAGGGACGCAGTCTACGTATCAAGCTATGCATTATGTTCAGTGTCTTTGTTGACTTTAACAGCCATAAGCGTGGACCGACTTCTCGCCATGTTGTTGGGACTGAGATACAAAGAGGTTGTAACTTTGAGGCGTACGTATATCATTTTAGCCATCTTTTGGGTTGTATGTATAGTCGCTGGTTTATTCTCTCATCTCAATTACCGTATAGGCCTTTGGTGCAGCTTTTTAATTACACCATCCTGTTTGATAATCTCAGTCGCCTCGTACACAAAGATTTTCTGCGCTCTCAGTCATCATCAGGCTCAAATACGAGATTATGCTCAGCAACAGCCGAGCCAACCGAATGCACTGAACATGGCGCGATACAAAAAGGCAGTCTGCAATGCGCTGTGGGTGCAGTTAGCTTTAGTTGTCTGTTATGTACCACAATTTACAGTGAAAATTGTGATCTTTCTTAGTACAAAGAGTGGATTTTCGAATTTCTTCATATTCCTTGGAATGGCAAATGTCTTAGTGTTCTTTAACTCTACTTTAAACCCGTTCCTTTACTGCTGGAAGATAAGTGAAGTGAGACGAGCAGTAAAGCTGACAATCAGACAAGCAATCTGCTATGCAGAGGGGTAGACCTATTTTAACGTTGGTATGTACTGTTTCTTCTATAACTTATTTGAAAAAAGTATAGATGTTAGGAGAAAAGGGAAGATATGCCATCTCATGATGAAAAGAGCAAGGAAATATACGAAGAGCTCCTTCTCAATAGTACATCGTAATCGAATTATTTAACGAACAACTAACAGGTGAAAAATTGTAGTTTAGTAGCCATATCAAAACAATAACATGTCTCCAATTTGCGCATTTGTAATTAAGTAATGAAAGCTATTATTTGGAATCAAAATGCGTTGAGGATTTTTCTTTTGATCAAAACTTGATGAGATATATGGACTGAGCTCAGAAATACGGTTTAGTGATAACGTGCTTTTCACGAAGCCAGCCGCTCTATTTTGTTATGATGGGGAATTAGCCAAAGTGTTTATTACGAAACTTTATAAATAAAAAATTCTGTTTACTGTGGACTTCGTTTTACTAGTTGAACGCCTTAAACAGGCTGCGTTGTCACTCGATAAGCTGTCGAAAAGAGAAAAAGAAAAAGGAAAAGAAAAAATCTGTGATGCAGAAAAGAAGAAACTACTACAGATACTTTCTTCTAGTCAGTAGTGGAGCCACTTATAGCGAAAATGATTGTAATACCTGCTGTATACATAACAACTTTAATTAATTCGACGGTAATGTTTTGCAAGCAAATGATGACTCAACCAAAAAAAAATCTGACTTACCTAACTTAATGGTTTACAAAGCATAATATATATTTAATAAAGTTTTTTTAGCCTTGTGCTTTGCACCTATGAAATGATTCAGTATTTCTAATCGATAACAAAACCATATTGTAAAAAAAACGCTGGTGTGGTAATTTTTTTTTTTTTTCGGCGTAAATAACATGGTATTTTTGACCATAGATTCGTCCAAAGGAAGTCTTCAAACTAACGGATTGACATCTGCACTGCAACCTTTTGTATTTCCGTTTGCCGTACGTATGTGATCATAATTCTGACAGGTTCCAAGATCACAGCATTGGTATAAGCACTTCGCCAGCTATCAATAGCTTTCGGTGAAGGTTTTCCATAGTCAAAAACTGATGTTTTCACCATTCCTGTCCAAAATGTCGTTTACCAATTTGATAAACATGTCACTAAGACAAACACCATTGTTAAGTAGCAAACTTCCGCCTTGAAACCAGAGATCATTTGCATACAAAATTTTTCCCATGGGAGGAATATTTGAATTATTTATGATCTTTGGAGCAATATTTCCACCTTTTTATCTATCTGGAGATCTTTCAGGATAAAACGGCAAGATAAATTGTCGTAGAATCTTTTCTTGCTGAAAAACTGATTCCCTTATAGGGAATTAGTTATTTAATGCTACACATGCCAACCTCTGGGGAAATGTCAATATTAAGTTTTCAAACACAAAAGACACTTGAGATCGTTAGCTCATTCCAAATAATGTAAATATATCGTTGAAACGCTTGATTATCTATGCATTATGAAAAGGTGAGATTTGAGCCACAGTTAAAGTGAAGTTGTTAGCAGGAAGCAGCAGTTTTGATGATGATGACGAAGTTTATGTATTTTTTAACATGGCATCAATTTCGACATTCTTCTCTGGTCAGGCGATTGAATCTTCAAGCAGTAGATCCGGCCAGTCTAGAGAAAACGAAGCAGTCAAAAACACAAACAAACAAACTGGTTCTCGATCGACGAGAACTTTGGAAAAAGTGAGTTGCTAAAGGAACGGATTTAAAAGAATTTGAAGGACTAGAAAGCGACACAAAACTTTCACTCTTGCCACAAAGCTCTCCCGCAAGCGGACGAGATCAAAAAATGCTCCTAGGAAACTTATCTCAAAGTTGGGTGGCCGAGACGAATGAATCTTCTCCCAACCAAAAGCGAAGACTTTTAGATCCCACAGTCCCCGGAAATTTTGATATGTAGGGTTTTATCTTGCCCCATCAAAGAACCTGTTTAGAGGCACCGAGTCAATTTTTTTTTTCGGCTGTTGTCGTTGAAGACTCGAAATCCCCCAGTGGCTTTCCATCGTTGTTTTTTTTTTCTGATCTGGAAGCCTCACAGAACTCGTAAGTACTTGGTCAAACTCTAAACTTGTTTTCTCAGGTTTATTCTTAATAAGTTAAAAATACAGCAGCTAAAAAAGAAAAAAAAGATTCTTATTTCTTCATTTGTTTCAACAATTTCTTTACTGACTGCCTTGATCCCCATCAATAGAGTACACCTGAATTTTCACCACATGGAATTCAAATTTCATTGATGTCCTTCCGCTCGAAAAAACTATCTAAGTAATGTTATCTTTACTTCTAACTTCTATGTGAATCAAATTCTTACAAATTATTTCCCAACCAAATTTGAATTTCGGCACCATAATCCTTAATTGTAGCTGTAGACTGTCTTTTTTGATGTCACCGGCCAAATTATGACTTTGATGCGTGTGTAGTTAATTGCTAATTTAAGCGGTGATAAAACTGGAGTGTAGCAAAATGACTGTAAGTAACTTCAAGGATGCATTTAACAATTCCTCTGAATCATTTTTTTTTTTTGGGCCCAAGCATACCGCAATTCAAATGGAACTTAAAGCAGACAATTTCTGAATGGATGAAGAGATAGGGAAATAGAGAATAATAGATAGGCGCGCGTAGATATGGAATTTCTCTTCGAGTGTTTAACTCGATAGCTCACGAGTGAGCGCAGCGAACGAGTGAGATGTCAAGTTGAATACGAGAAGAGAAATTCCATATCTAAAAGCAACCACGTATTATTTTGTTTATCATATAAACACAATAGCCCTTTAGTGAGAAGAAAAGCCGACTTCATCAATGAATGAAAATAAATGAATTGACAATCCCCGAATAACAATCGTAGAGTGCGTTGGCTCTAATTCTAAGAGGGAAAATTCGTTAAATCATGATTACAAATACAACAAGGGTCGTAATTTTTAATTTAAAAAACTATTATTTGCATATACAGAAATGGAGCTACGCTATTAGTGAGAATATGGTGACGAGTAAACAAGAATAAATTAGTGAAATGAAAAGCGCTCGTTGATACCGCGAGGATTAAGAGTGCTGATTTGAAAGATAAATTTTTGTTTTACAGTTTAGCTGCTTTCCAAACTGCCTAGATGTAGGAAAAGACGTCCTTGCTATTTCTATGTACGTCGCAAAGGTGTTATCGGAATCGGTCACCTAGTCGTCTTCCTTTCAAGAAACAGGAAGCTTACCTCACCATTAATTAGATATTGGAAAAATGGGACCACAAGCTTCTTGACCTTTAATTTTCTCATGACCACAATAAATTATCTGGATAAATTTGTGGCCATTAAAAGAACTGAGTAAATGGTGAATGAAACAATTAAGAAAAAGATGGGCTTACAACGTAACATCTTACACCTGTCGCCGTTTCGTTCCCAAGTCAACACAGGTACGACACGTCGGGAACAAAAATCCACGTGTCTTTAGAATAACTTTGCATCTGTAACCTGCATTTATTTCACTAGGACAATTTTGGCTAAATAAAGTCGGAGAAGTCCGGAAATTCAGTGAAAACAGTTCGTATTGGGTTTAGCGAGTTGAGAATGCACGCTATTTTCACCAGTAATAACAAAGGAATTATCTGGCCTATATGACCGGAAGTTCATGCCAAGTTATATTACCTCGCGAGATGGTATAACTTGTCCTCGTAAATGCTGCAAATCGGATCGAGCGTAGTGACAGACGCGTGCCAAATACTTTGGAATTGTTACTTACCAGACGCTCGTATCGTGGCTCAGTTTGTCTCGTGGTTTATTAAAATTCAGAAAATATCTGACAACTTCAAATATAATGAAATGATATAGAGTGACCCAAGCTGTTAAGCATGTCTATGTAAGCAAAGCTGATATTTAGCTAGTTTTGTCATCACTAGCCTTTCCAGGCGTTCATTTAGTAAAACGGAGTGAAATGGTACACGGCAAGATAGTAACGGCGGAGTGGAAAAACGAGTCGGGGTCGGGTCGGATCGGGTCGGGTGAAAGCCATTCTTTACCTGTCTCGACCCAAGCCTTACTCTTTTTTCCCTCTGCCGTGAAAATCGCGCCGTTAACTTACTTTGCACTTCGTTTTACTAGCTGAACGCCTCGAAGAGGCTGTGTTGTCACCCGATAAGCTATTAATAAAAGCTTTGATGCAGACTACGAGTGTGACTACAACAAATATTTTCTTCGAGTCAATAGTGGGGCCATTTATTTCGAAAGAGGAATCGAGAGACAAAATGAATGCAATCACCTGTCATATATATACGTAACAACTTTAATTGTTACTACGGCAATGTTTTGCAATCAAATAATAACTCAAAGAAAAATTTAACTTAACTTGCTCAGTTTTATTAAGCAGACAAAGTAAAAAGGTTTCTATAGCTTTATGCTTTGCGCCTTTAAACTGAATGAATATTTTTATTCGGTAGTAAAACCTTATTGTAGAAAAAAAGCTAACAGTTTAAAAAAAAAAATTCACGCTATCATCCAGGTAAGGCAGCGAATCTGATCCAAACAACACGTTGCTATCCAAAAACTAAGGTTTAACTGATCTTGACTTGGAGGCTGCTGTAAAGACGAAATATTCCTCGTTGTTACTAACTTAAGGATAACTTGCAAAAGAGTGGAAACAACAGTGATGGCAACAACAACAAATATAACAGGAAGTGGAACACTGACGAAAACATTTGAAGGATCGGAATGCTCCCCATATTGGGTTGGTGAGTTAAAACAACAGTCCATTTCATTCTCAGCAATAAACATTCTCCTCTCCATCACAGCAACTCTTGGGAATTCTCTTATCCTTGCTGCCCTTCACAAAGAATCTTCCCTCCATCCGCCATCCAAACTCTTGTATCGTTGTCTGACAACAACTGATCTGTTGGTTGGTCTTGTTACCCAGCCTGTCGCTGCTACTTATTGGATGTCTTTGGTTCACGAAAACTGGAGTCTTTGTCTATACACGAGGGACGTAGGCTACATAACAGGCTTTACATTGTGTGGAGTTTCTCTGTTTACAATGACGGCCATAAGCGTGGACCGACTTCTCGCCATGTTGTTGGGACTGAGATACAAAGACATTGTAACTTTGAGGCGCACGTATATCACTTTAGCTATCGTTTGGGTTGTATGTCTTATCGCTGGTTTATTCTCTCATCTCGATCACCGTATAACCTTATGGTGCAGCCCTATAAGTATATCATTTTGCCTGGTAATCTCAGTCGCATCATACACAAAAATTTTTCGCGCTCTCAGTCATCATCGGGCTCAAATACAAGATCATGCTCAACAACAACCGGGCCAACCAAATGCACTGAACATAGCGCGATACAGAAAGGCAGTGTACAGTGCACTGTGGGTACAGTTAGCTTTAGTTGTCGGTTATGTACCACAATTTACGATTCAAATTGTAATCTCTCTTAAATTAGTACGAAGCCATTTTCGAATTTCTTCATATTCCTGGGAATGGCAAATGTCTTACTGTTCCTTAATTCTACTTTAAATCCGTTCCTTTACTGCTGGAAGATAAGTGAAGTGAGACGAACAGTAAAGCAGACAATCAGACAAGCAATCTGCTATGCATAGGAGTAGACCTATTTCAACGTTTGCATGTAAATTTTCTTCTATGTAGATTTTTTGAAAGAATTCTAGACGTTAGGAGAGAGGGGAAGGTAATGAAAAAGGGTAAGGAAAAATATGAAATAAGTAGTATATTGTATTCGAGTTATGTAACGAAAAAATAAAAGGTGAGAAAGTGTAGTTTAACAAAACAATATTACGTCTCCAATTTCCGAATTTGTAGTGAAGAGGTGAAGGTATTAGTTATTTTGGATATAAAATGTGCTCAGAATTTTTCTTTGCCATCAAATTTTGATCAGGTATGGCTCAGAAATATGGTTTAGTGATAACGAGCTTTGAAAGGAGCTGGCCGCCTGATTTTGTTATAACTGGGAATCAGCCATACTGTTTATAACAAAACTAAGATAATTCACGGCGTCCTAAGTTTGCATAAATTATATGCAGTGCACTTTAGTTACAGTTTGCCTTAGCTGTTTGTTATGTACCTAACTTAACAGCGCAGATTGTGAATATCTTTGAGTTTAAACCGATTATCTAATTTATCATAATCATAATAATCATTCGCCATAATGGCGAATGTTTTAGTTTTTCTCAACTCCACTTTAAACCCGTATCAAGCAGTAAAGCAGACAATCAGACAAACAATTTGCCTTGCATAGGTTTCGACCCATTTCGACGTTTACATGTCTCTTCCAAAGCTATTTAACAATCATGTTTGTTACAAGAGAGAGGAGGATATACCATTTAATAAAGAAGAGTGAGGAAAACCATAAAGAGTCACTTCTCATTTTTATATTCAAGTTATCTTAAGAACAACTAAAAAGTAAAACATTAGTTTGGTAATAAAATATATCACAGGAATATCACATGCCGAATTCACTCACTTATAAGGAAGCAGTAGAGACTATTCTTTTCAAGCAGAATGCGCTTACGATTTTGCTGTTTTGTCAAAACTGAATGAGATATGTCACTTTGGCTCAGACACACGGTTATGTGTTTACGGGATTGTAACAGGAGCCACGGGCTCGATTTGCTTATAACAAAAATATGTCGACTTTGTTTTCATCTGTTTAAATATTTTGAAGTCAATTCTTAGAAAATGAGTTGATTATCACTATTTTCACTTATAGATTTATCGTTTGAGACCAATCGTTTGCCGGAGAGCAAGTTTGAAAATTATGACAGAAGAAACTTATAATAAGAAATAGAGCCAAGACTCTAACATGGTTGATAAGAATAGCTGTTTATCAGTCTGTTATCTGCATCAGTTAAGACTGTTTATCGAGTACAAAATTGTAGTCCTCAGGGGGTTATCCATAAATTTCTTTGAGCAAGTAATTTTGAAAGCACCTTTATTCACAAATTCGAATATTCAAGAAGATTTCGTGACTCCACCACAGGCCATACACACACAGCTGGTATTATGAGAAAACATTCTCTCGTTTTAATGACAATCGACTACAAAAGCTGCTAACACGCAAACAACACGTCGGCCGATGCGTTGGTAAAGGCGTCGGCAAACAATCGGTCGACTGTCGACCGACTATCCGTTGACTTTCGATATCCTATTACTAGTGGTTTATTCAGGTGAAAAGGTTTTTGTTCTGTTTTATTGTATAATTAACCTATCACAAACACAATTTTCCTCACTCTTATTTCTAACTCAGTCCTCAGGGGGTTATCCATAAATTTCTTTGAGCAAGTAATTTTGAAAGCACCTTTATTAACAAATTCGAATATTCAAGAAGATTTCGTGACTCCACCACAGGCCGTATACACACAGCTGGTCTTCTGAGAAAACATTCTCTCGTTTTAATGACAATCGAGTACAAAAGCTGCTAACACGCGCTCTTGAGTACCTACCACTCCTCCTAATTAAAAGATTTGTATGACAGCTCACCACTGCAAGGATCATTTCCGCGCTTGAATTCCATCTGATGGTCAAAAAATTATTTATATCATTAAAGTTCTGAAAACAAAAATAATAGGAATACAACATTGTTTTAAAAACTACTACGCTCTAACATGGTATTTGATTTCACTATCTCATCCAATCTTTTTGATATTATACATGTAGAAAATAGATGGTAAATTTTGTGCACGGTACTGAACTAGAGAAAATATCTCTGTTATCTGCATGAATTAAAAATGTCTATCGAGTGCAAAATTGTAGTCCTCAGAAGGTTAGCCATAGATTTCTTTGAGCAAATAATTTTGAAAGCTCTTTTATCACCAAATTCGAATATTCGAGAACACGTCGTGACTCTATCATAAGCCTTGTATACACAGCTGGTCCTATGAGAAATTATTCTCTCATTTTAACGACAATCGAGAAAAAAGCTGCTAACACGCGCTCTTGAACACCTACCACTGCTCCTAATTAAAAGGTTTGTATGACAGCTCACCACTGCAAGGACCCTTTCCGCGCCTGAATTCCATCTGATGGTCAAAAAATTATTCATGTCTTTAAAGTTCTGAAAAAAGAATAAGTATAATGGAAGGAAAAGGACTTTGTTTTAAAAACTATTGCGCTCTAAAATATTTTATGTGGTTTCCTTTAACGCCTCCCTTCCGTCCTCAGAACCGTTACGAATATCACAGAATGAATAACAGGTTGTATGCGAATTTTAGATCAATAAATAATATGAGGAAATTAACGTTGCCATAAATAAAGGTATATCTCGTAGACAAAATGAAACTTAAATAAATCTACTTTGTCTTGATGAGTCATGGGCTACGCCAGGCAAGCCAAGCTGAACCTGATCTTTAAACAGAATGTGATGAAATGATGAAGGATGTCCCAAGCTATTAAGCAGAACTCATATTTAGTTGCTGTTGTTATCACTAACCTTTTCTAGGCGTTCATTTAGTAAAACGGAGCAAAGGGTACACTGCACGATAGCAGCGATAGAAAAAACGGGTTGGGTCAGGTCGGGTGAACACCCTTCTTTACTCGACTCGGCCCAAGGCTCACTTTTTCTTTTCGGCTCCGCCGTGACTATCGTATCGTTTACTGTGCACTTCGTTTTACAATATGAACGCCTCGAACAGGCTATGTTATCACTCAATAAGCTGCCCAAAAATAATAATAATAATAATAATAATAATAATAAAGCTGTGATGCAAAATAAAAGTCACCACTATAGACATTTTCTTCGAGTTAGTAGTGGAACCACTTATTAATCAAAAGGAATCGAGAGTTTGACAAAATGAATGCAATCACCTGTCGTTTACATAACAACTTTAATCGTTACCACGTTAATGTTTTGCAACCAAATAATGACTCAACAAAAAAAATTAACTTACCTTAATAGTTTATAAAGCAAACAATATTTGTAGCTTTATGCTTTACACTTATGAAATGATTGAATATTTTATTCCATAACAAAACCGTATTGCAGAATAAACGCTACTGTGATAGTTCGAAAAAAAAACATGAAAAAAACCTTGGCTTAAATAACATGGTACTGGTGACAATAGATTCATCGAAACGAAATATTCAAACTACTTCCTGATCGAGACACATCTGCGCTGCAACCTCTCTGTTTTTCAGCTTGCCGCATGTATTTCATCATAATTCTGACAAGCGCCGAGATCACAGCGTCTGTCAATAGCTTTCAGTGAACGTTTTACTTACTCATACATTGATTTTTTTCCACCACATATTTTGAAACAATTGTCACAGGGGGAATAAATTTGTCCCTGTTATACGATGCCACATCCAATATGTGGTTTACAAATTTGATAAACAGGTAACTAAGACAAACAGCGTTGTTCAGTGGCAAAATTCCACCTTGAAACAAGAGATAATTTGCTCACAAAATGTTTCCCGTGGGAGGAATATTTAAATTATCTATTATCTTTTGAACAACATTTCCATCCTTGGATCTATCTAGAGACCTTTCAGGGTGTAACGGCAGAATAAATGGTCGTAGGATTTCTTTTCGCTGAAAAACTGATTCTTTTTTAGTATGGTTACTTAATACAAATTACACATGCCGAGCTATGGGGAAATTTTAATTTGTTCTGTGGCACAAGAGACTCTTGAGATCGGTTGCGCATTTCAAATAGGGTAAATGATACCATTTAAAATGCTTGAGTATATATATGCATTATTAAAAGATGAGATTTAAGCCACAGTGGATGTGAAGTTGTCGTGAAGGCGAAATATCTCTGTTACATCCAAAGAAAAGTAGACACTGACGATGTCGACCACAAATTTAACAGTATTCGAAAGGCAAACAAAAACATTTGAAGACCTGATTTGCTCGCCATCACTGGCAGGTGGATTGCAACGACAATCAATTTATTTCACGGCAGTTCACATTCTCCTCTCGCTCATGGCACTTTCTGGGAACTTTCTCATCATTGTTGCCCTTCACAAAGTATCTTCCCTTCATCCGCCGTCCAAAGTCTTGTATCGTTGTTTGGCAGCAACTGATCTGTTAGTTAGTATTGTTAGCCAGCCTTTCACTGCCAGTTATTGGATGTCCTTGGTTCACGAAGAGTGGTATCTTTGCCGAGTCGCATACATGGCAACTTACATAACAACCTATACATTATGTTTAGTGTCTTTGTTGACAACGGCGGCCATAAGCGTGGATAGACTTCTCGCCCTGTTGTCGGGGCTAAGATACCGACAAATTGTAACTTTAAAGCGCACTTACTGCATGGTAGCAACCTTCTGGGTACTGTTTGTCGTCGCTTGTTTATGCTATATTTTAGAATACCGAATAGATATGTGGTACAGCCGTATAATTATACCATCTTGCTTAATAATCTCAGTAGCTTCGTACACAAAGATTTTCTGCGTTCTCCGTCATCACCAGGCTCAAGTACAAGGTTTTATACAACAACAGCACAACCAACCAAATGCACTAAACATGGCGCGATACAAAAGGGCAGTGTATAGTGCACTATGGGTGCAGTTAGCATTAGTGAGTTGTTATGTCCCAATAGGTGTATCAGGAATTGTTATTGCATCTAGTAATACATACTCATCGAATTTAATCGTCACCTGGGGAGTGGCACTTCTTTTAGTTTATTTTAACTCGGCTTTAAACCCCATCCTTTACTGCTGGAGAATCAGTGAGATGAGACAAGCAGTGAAGCAGACAATTAATCAAGCATTGTGCTGTCCATTGAATTAACTCTCCTCTGACTTACACATGTATCAATCCTGAAAAGCTGATGTATAAAATTATCAAAAGCACGTCCATTAGTGTTTGTGCCTTGAAAATTGTTCTCCCCCCTTACCTCGATATGAAATTTGCGTCATGAAAATATCATTCTCTACTTAAAACACATCTTTACATACTTACAATGATCGATATGACATGTCCACTATCCATTATGAACCAGCGCGTTACAAGTTTTGATCAAAACTTTTACTCTCTGTAGAAGGGGAAGACATGCCATTTCTTGATAAAAAGAGTAAGGAAAACATGGAGAGCTACTTATAAATGATATAGTACATTCGAGTTATCTAATGAAGAACTCACAGATGAAAAATTGTAGTTTAGAAGCCACGAGAAAACAATAACATGTCTCCAATTTGCGCATTTCTAATGAAGTAGTAAAGCTATTATTTGGAATCAGAATGCACTCAGGGCTTTTCTTTGCGATCAAAACTTGATGATGATGTCACCTGAGCTCAATAATATGGTTTAGTGATAACGCGCTGTTAACGAAGCCAGCCGCACAATTTTTTCATGATTGGGAATTAGCCATAGTGCTCCTAGCGAAACTTTGTAAATTAAAGATGCAGACTTTGTTAACAGCTATTCAAATGTGCAGTAGGAAATGCTTAGAAAGGAAATTGGTAATCTCTATTTCATATAGAGTTATCGTTTGAGACCAATCGTTTGCCTAAGATTAAGCTCGCAAATTATATTATTGTTCGTTTTACTAGCTGAAAGGGTTAACAGGCTGTGTTGTTACTCGATAAGCTGTCAATGATAGCTGTGATGCAGACTACGAGTGACTACTACAGATATTTTCCTAGAGTCAGTATTGGAGCCTCTTATTACGAAAGAGGAATCGAGAGTTAGGCAAAATGAATGCAATCACCTGTCGTACACAAAACAGCTTTAATTGTTACTACGATAATATTTTGCAAAGGTTTCTGTAGCTTTATGCTTTTCGCCTATGAAGTTATTGAATATATTTATTTGGTAGCAAAACTGTATTGTAAAAGGCTAGTTTGGTTTTTCGAAAAATAAAAAAACAACAACAACAAAACAAAACCATGGCTAAAATAACATGGTATCGGGGACCATAGACTCATCCGAGTGAAGTTTTATAATTGCTTCCTAACCGTGTAACATCTACGCCGCAACCCTTTTGTTTTTCAGTTTGCCATACGTATGTGATCATAATTCTGACAAGTCCCGTGATCACAGCAATGGCATAAACACCTCGTCATCTGTCAATAGCTTTCAGTAAAGGTTTTCCTTAGTCAAACACTGAATTTGTTCATTATTTATTTAGAAGCAATTGTCATAGAGAGTATAAATTTGTTCCTGTTATACGATGCCATATCCAATACGTCGATTACCAAAGCTTACCAATTTGATAAACAGGTAACTGAGACAAACAGACAGCATTGTTCAGTAACAAAATTCAGCTTAAAACCAGAGATAATTTGCACACAAATTGTCTCCCGTGAGTGGAATGTGTGAATTAAGATCGTTTGAGCAGCATTTCCACCCTCGGATCGATCTGGAGACCTTTTAGGGTATAAAGGCAGGATAAATTGTCGCAAAATTTCTTGTCACTGAACAACTGATTCCCTTTAAGGATGGTTATTTTATGCAAGGCACACATGCTAATCTCAATGATATGTTTTGCGGCACAAAAGACACTTGAGATCGTTTGTGCATTTCAAAAAGGGTACCGTTTAAATGCTTGAGTATATATTCATTTAAGCCACAGTGGATGTGAAGTTGTTGTGAAGGCGAAAGATCTCTGTTATATCCAAAGGAAAGTAGATATTAATGATGCCGGCTTCAAATTTAACAACATTTGAAAAGCACACAAAAGCATTTGAAGACCTAATTTGCTCGTCATCATTGGCAGGTGGATTGCAACAACAATCAATTTATTTCACGGCAGTCCACATTATCCTTTCGCTTATGGCATTTTTGGGGAACTTTCTCATCCTTGTTGTAAAAATTAAAGTTTTTATATATACTACAGGCGATTGCATTAACTCTCTAACCCTCGATTCCTTTTTCGTAATAAGTGGCTCCACTACTGGCTCGAAGAAAATATATGTAGTAGTGACTTGTACTCTGCATCACGGCTTTATTATTATTATCATTTTTTATTTTTATTTTGACAGCTTATCGAGTGATAACATAGCCTGTTCGAGGCCTTCATATTGTAAAACGAAGTGCAAGGTAAACGGCACGATAGTCAAGGCAGAGCGGAAAAAAAAGTCAGACTTGGGTCGAGTCGAGTTAAGAACGGCGTTCACCCGACGCGACCCAACCCGATTCGACCCGACCCCTCTCCACCGTTTTTTCACTCTATCGCTGCTATCGTGTAGTGTACCATTTGCTCCGTTTTACTAAATGAAGGCCTAGAAAAGGTCAGTGGTAACAACAGCAACTAAATATGAGTTCTGCTTAATAGCCTGGGACATCCTTCATCATTTCATCACATTCTGTTTAAAGATCAGGTTCAGCTTGGCTTGCCTGGCTTAGCTCATGACTCAGTAAGACAAAGTAAATTTATTTAAGTTTCATTTTGTCTATGAGATATAACTTTATTTATGGCAACGTTAATTTCCTCATATTATTTACTGATCTAAAATTCGCATGCAACCTGTTATTCATTCCGTGATAATCGTAACGGTTCTGAGGACGAAAGGGAAGCGTTAAAGGGCACCACATAAAAAACGTTAGAGCGTAGCAGTTTTTAAAACAAAGTCCTTTTCCTTCCATTATACTTATTCTTTTTTCAGAACTTAAAAGACATGAATAATGTTTTGACTATCAGATGGAATTCAAGCGCGGAAATTGTCCTTGCGGTGGAGAGCTATCATACAAATCTTTTAATTAGGAGCAGTGGTAGGCGTTCAAGAGCGCGTGTTAGCAGCTTTTTTGCTCGATTGTCGTTAAAATGAGAGAATGTTTTCTCATATGACCAGCTGTGTATACAAGGCTTATGATAGAGTCACGACATGCTCTTGAATATTCGAATTTGGTGATAAAAGAGCTTTCAAAATTACTCGCTCAAAGAAATTTATGGATAACCCCCCGAGGGCTACAATTTTCTACTCGATAAACAGTCCTAACTGATGCAGATAACAGACTGATAAACAATTAGTCTTATCAACCATGTTAGAGTCTTGGCTCTATTTCTTATTATAAGTTTCTTCTGTCATAATTTTCAAACTTGCTCTCCGGCAAACGATTGGTCTCAAACGATAAATCTATAAGTGAAAATAGTGATAATCAACTCATTTTCTAAGAAGTGACTTCAAAATATTTAAATAGATGAAAACAAAGTCGACAAATTTTTGTTATAAGCAGATCGAGCCCGTGGCTCCTGTTACAATCCATTAACACTTGACCGTGTATCTGAGCCAAAGTGACATATCTCATTCAGTTTTGACAAAACAGAAAAATCGTCAGCGCATTCTGCTTGAAAAGAATAGTCTCCATTGCTTCATTATAAGTGTGTGAATTCGGCATGTGATATTTCTGTGATATATTGTATTACCAAACTAATGTTTTACCTTTTAGTTGTTCTTAAGATAACTTGAATATAAAAATGAGAAGTGACTCTTTATGGTTTTCCTCACTCTTCTATATTAAATGGTATATCCTCTCCTCTCTTGTTATAAACATGATTGTTAAATAGCTTTGGAAGAAACATGTAAACGTCGAAATGGGTCGTATTTACAGCTTTATTGCATAACATTATTTCGAAAACGTCTAGGACGTTCCGAGCCTACCATGCAGATAGGCGATGTTGTGTTAGTGTCTTGATAATGTCCGACAATCAAGTTAAAAAACGTCGCTCATCTATCTGAAAATCGAAGAAGTCCAAGCAGCGAAAACACTGGATTAAGAAGCCTTGTGCGCATGAGTAGACGGTAAAACCACTGACGAATGTCACAAACTTTATCCGGTTATTGGTTCCATCTGAACAGAACGAAACTTTCGCACAGTTCCACGTGAACAGAATATCTGGTCGAAATTTTTGGCCGGTCGAAAATTCGTCCGGTGCCGAGTGAACGTAGCCTTAATATTCGAATATTACTAAAGGTAAATCGTAAATCGCGAGAAAAATAGCAACAAAACGAATCCAGTCACTTGCCGAATACATGACTTGAAACAAGAACAAGAAAAAATAATTTAGGGTAATTCAGGAGTATTGAGTGAGTTGATAACTTAATTAACCTCCGTAAAGAGTTTAAAAGCTGACGCTTTGAGCGTTAGCGCGAGAGCGACTGGAGCAATTATGGGGTGTGTATGGGTTTGTCTACAAATTATGGAGCTACGCTATTGGTGGGAATATGGTGACGAGAAGACAAGAATAAATTGAATGAAGGTTGCTCGTTGATACCGTAAGGATTAAGAGTGCCGATTTTAAAGACAAATTTTTGTTCTAAAGTTTTGCTACTTTTCGAACTGCCTATATGTAAGGAAAGGCCGCAAACTGCCATATGCTGCTTAGAATGATTAGGGAGATTTAAGTGTCTAGCAACTGGTTTGGATGCGTCTTTGTCATTTCTTTCTACGTCGCGAAAGTGTTCTCGGAATCGGTCACCTAATCGTCTTCCTTCCAAGAAACTAGAAGCTTACCTCACTATTAATTAGATACTTGAAAAAAATGGGACCTCGAGCTTCTTAAGATAACTCTTACATTTTTTCGTGACCACAAAAAAATAATCCTGCTAAATTTGCGGCCATGAAAGAAGTGAGTAAATATAGTGAATTGAAAAGTTAAGATAGAGATGGGCTAACGACGTAACATCTGACACCTGTCGCCGTTTCGTTCCTAAGTCAACAGGGGTGCGACACGTAGAAAACAGAAATTCAAATATTTTTAGAATAACTTTGCATTTGTAACCTGCATTAATTTTGAAATTGGACTTTTTCTCTCAGTTTGCCCTTGTTGATAACAAGTCATGGTGTCCCAAGATTCCCGTGAATTAGTAATTCACCGTATTATCTGGGTAAGGAAACGAATCCGATCCAAACAACACGCCGGCCAATACGTTGGTAGCAGTGTCGGCAAACAATCGGTCGACTGTCCACCGATTATCTGTCGACTTTAGATTTCATATCACTGGTGGTTTATTTAGGTGAAGAGGTTTTTGTTCTGTTTTATTGTAAAATTTACCTATCACAACTACAGTTTTCCTCCCTCTTACTTTTAATTCAAATCGCGCAGAAAAACTCGCCTTTTTTTCTCTCTCGTGTGATAAACCTCACAGCTTTCGGGCATTTTACATAGTCAGATGCCAGTGATAAATTTTACTCGGTGTAATTGTTATTCAAAAACTAAGGTTTAATTGATCTTGACTTGGAGGATGCTGTTAAGACGAAATATCCCTCGTTGTAACTAATTATAAGGATAACGACAAGAAGTACATGGCGACAACAAATATAACGGGAAGAGGAACACTTACGCAAACATTTGACGGATCGCTATGTTCCCCAATTTGGTTAGGTGAGATTAAACAGCAGTCCATTTCACTCTCAGCAGTCAACATTCTCCTCTCCATCACAGCAACTCTTGGGAATTCTCTTATCCTTGTTTCCCTTCACAAGGAATCTTCCCTCCATCCGCCATCCAAACTCTTGTATCGTTGTCTGGCAACAACTGATCTCTTGGTTGGTCTTGTTACCCAACCTATTTATGCTGCCTTTTGGATGTCCGTGGTTCACGAACACTGGAGTCTTTGCCAATTCTCATTTTACGCAACCGGCGTAACAGGCTATGCGTTATGTTCAGTTTCCATGTTGACGCTGACGACCATAAGCGTGGACCGACTTCTCGCCATGTTGTTGGGACTGAGATACAAAGAGATTGTAACTTTGAGGCGCACATACATCATTTTAGCTATCTTTTGGATTGTATCTCTACTCTCTGGCTTGTTCTTTCATCTTAATTACCGTATAACTTTTTGGCTCAGTTTTACAGGTGCACCGTTATGCCTAGTTATATCAATCGCCTCGTACACAAAGATTTTTCGCGCAATCAGTCATCATCAGGCTCAAATACAAGATTATGCTCAACAACAGCCGAGCCAACCAAATGCACTGAACATGGCGCGATACAGAAAGGCAGTGTACAGTGCACTGTGGGTGCAGTTAGTATTAGTTGTCTGTTATGTACCAAACATGACAGTGGAAATTGTGATATCTTTGAGTCTAAAGGGATTATCGAATTTCATCGTAATCAGGGGAATGGCAAATGTCTTAGTGTTCTTTAACTCTACTTTAAACCCGTTCCTTTACTGCTGGAAGATAAGTGAAGTGATACGAGCAGTAAAGCTGACAATCAGACAAGCAATCTGCTATGCAGAGGGGTAGACCTATTTTAACGTTGGCATGTAGATTTTCTTCTATAACTTATTTGAAATATTATAAACTTTAAGAGAGAGGGGAAGACATGCCATTTCTTGATAAAAAGAGTAAGAAAAACATGGAGAGCTACTTATAAATGGTATATTACATTCGAGTTATCTAATGAAGAACTCACAGATGAAAAATTGTAGTTTAGAAGCCACAAGAAAACAATAACATGTCTCCAATTTGCGCATTTCTAATGAAGTAGTAAAGCTATTATTTGGAATCAGAATGCACTCAGGGTTTTTTTTTTGCGATCAAAACTTGATGATGATGTCAATAATATGGTTTAGTGATAACGCGCTGTTAACGAAGCCAGCCGCACAATTTGTCATGATTGGGAATTAGCCATAGTGCTCCTAGCGAAACTTTGTAAATTAAAGATGCAGACTTTGTTAACAGCTATTCAAATGTGCAGTAGGAAATACTTAGAAAGGAAATTGGTAATCTCTATTTCATATAGAGTTATCGTTTGAGACCAATCGTTTGCCTTAGATTAAGCTCGCAAATTATATTATTGTTCGTTTTACTAGCTGAAAGGGTTAACAGGCTGTGTTGTTACTCGATAAGCTGTCAATGATAGCTGTGATGCAGACTACGAGTGACTACTACAGATATTTTCCTAGAGTCAGTATTGGAGCCTCTTATTACGAAAGAGGAATCGAGAGTTAGGCAAAATGAATGCAATCACCTGTCGTACACAAAACAGCTTTAATTGTTACTACGATAATATTTTGCAAAGGTTTCTGTAGCTTTATGCTTTGCGCCTATGAAGTTATTGAATATTTTTATTTAGTAGCAAAACTGTATTGTAAAAGGCTAGTTTGGTTTTTCGAAAAATAAAAAAAACAACAACAACAACAAAACAAAACCATGGCTAAAATAACATGGTATCGGGGACCATAGACTCATCCGAGTGAAGTTTTATAATTGCTTCCTAACCGTGTAAAATCTACGCCGCAACCCTTTTGTTTTTCAGTTTGCCATACGTATGTGGTCATAATTCTGACAAGTCCCGTGATCACAGCAATGGCATAAACACCTTGTCATCTGTCAATAGCTTTCAGTAAAGGTTTTCCTTAGTCAAACACTGAATTTGTTCATTATTTATTTAGAAGCAATTGTCATAGAGAGTATAAATTTGTTCCTGTTATACGATGCCATATCCAATACGTCGTTTACCAAAGCTTACCAATTTGATAAACAGGTAACTGAGACAAACAGACAGCATTGTTCAGTAACAAAATTCCGCTTAAAACCGGAGATAATTTGCACACAAATTGTCTCCCGTGAGTGGAATGTGTGAATTAAGATCGTTTGAGCAGCATTTCCAACCTCGGATCGATCTGGAGACCTTTTAGGGTATAAAGGCAGGATAAATTGTCGCAAAATTTCTTTTCACTGAACAACTGATTCCCTTTAAGGATGGTTATTTTATGCAAGGCACACATGCTAATCTCAATGATATGTTTTGCGGCACAAAAGACACTTGAGATCGTTTGTGCATTTCAAATAGGGTACCGTTTAAATGCTTGAGTATATATTCATTTAAGCCACAGTGGATGTGAAGTTGTTGTGAAGGCGAAAGATCTCTGTTATATCCAAAGGAAAGTAGATATTAATGATGCCGGCTTCAAATTTAACAACATTTGAAAGGCACACAAAAACATTTGAAGACCTAATTTGCTCGTCATCATTGGCAGGTGGATTGCAACAACAATCAATTTATTTCAAGCAGTCCACATTCTCCTTTCGCTTATGGCATTTTTGGGGAACTTTCTCATCCTTGTTGTAAAAATTAAAGTTTTTGTATATACTACAGGCGATTGCATTTATTCTGTCTAACTCTCGATTCCTTTTTCGTAATAAGTGGCTCCACTACCGACTCGAAGAAAATAAATGTAGTAGTGACTTGTACTCTGCATCACAGCTTTATTATTATTATCATTTTTTTTTTTTTTATTTTGATAGCTTATCGAGTGATAACATAGCCTGTTCGAGGCCTTCATATTGTAAAACGAAGTGCACAGTAAACGGCACGATAGTCAAGGTCGACCCAACCCGATTCGACCCGACCCCTCTCCACCGTTTTTTCACTCTATCGCTGCTATCGTGCAGTGTACCATTTGCTCCGTTTTACTAAATGAAGGCCTAGAAAAGGTTAGTGGTAACAACAGCAACTAAATATGAGTTCTGCTTAATAGCCTGGGACATCCTTCATCATTTCATCACATTCTGTTTAAAGATCAGGTTCAGCTCGGCTTGCCTGGCTCAGTTCATGACTCAGCAAGACAAAGTAAATTTATTTAAGTTTCATTTTGTCTATGAGATATACCTCTATTTATGGCAACGTTAATTTCCTCATATTATTTACTGACCTAATATTCGCATACAACCTGTTATTCATTCCGTGATAATCGTAACGGTTCTGAGGACGGAAGGGAAGCGTTAAAGGGCACCAAATAAAAGACGTTAGAGCGCAGCAGTTTTTTAAAACAAAGTCCGATTCCTTCCATTATACTTATTCTTTTTTCAGAACTTAAAAGACATGAATAATGTTTTTACTATTAGATGAATTCAAGCGCGGAAATGGTCCTTGCGGTGGTGAGCTGTCATACAAATCTTTTAATTAGGAGCAGTTGTAGGTGTTCAAGAGCGCGTGTTAGCAGCTTTTTTGCTCGATTGTCGTTAAAATGAGAGAATGTTTTCTCATATGACCAGCTGTGTATATATTATGATAGAGTCACGACATGTTCTTGAATATTCGAATTTGGTGATAAAAGAGCTTTCAAGATTACTTGCTCAAAGAAATTTATGGATAACTCCCCGAGGGCTACAATTTTCTACTCGATAAACAGTCCTAACTGATGTAGATAACAGACTGATAAACAATTAGTCTTATCAAACATGTTAGAATCTTGGCTCTATTTCTTATTATAAGTTTCTTCTGTCATAATTTGCAAACTTGCTCTCCGGCAAACGATTGGTCTCAAACGATAAATCTATAAGTGAAAATAGTGATAATCAACTCATTTTCTAAGAATTGACTTCAAAATATTTAAACAGATGAAAACAAAGTCGACAAATTTTTGTTATAAGCAGATCGAGCCCGTGGCTCCTGTTACAATCCATTAACACTTAACCGTGTGTCTGAGCCAAAGTGACATATCTCATTCAGTTTTGACAAAACAGAAAAATCGTCAGCGCATTCTGCTTGAAAAGAATAGTCTCCATTGCTTCATTATAAGTGAGTGAATTCGGCATGTGATATTCCTGTGATATATTTTATTACCAAACTAATGTTTTACCTTTTAGTTGTTCTTAAGATAACTTGAATATAAAAATGAGAAGTGACTCTTTATGGTTTTCCTCACTCTTCTATATTAAATGTTATATCCTCTTCTCTCTTGTAACAAACATGATTGTTAAATAGCTTTGGAAGAAACATGTAAACGTCGAAATGGGTCGTATTTACAGCTTTATTGCATAACATTATTTCGAAAGCGTCTAGGACGTTCCGAGCCTACCATGCAGATAGGCGATGTTGTGCTAGTGTCTTGATAATGTCCGACAATCAAGTTAAAAAACGTCGCTCATCTATCTGAAAATCAAAGAAGTCCAAGCAGCGAAAACACTGGATTAAGAAGCCTTGTGCGCATGAGTAGACGGTAAAACCACTGACGAATGTCACAAACTTTATCCGGTTATTGGTTCCATCTGAACAGAACGAAACTTTCGCACAGTTCCACGTGAACAGAATATCAGGTCGAAATTTTTGGCCGGTCGAAAATTCGTCCGGTGCCGAGTGAACGTAGCCTTAATATTCGAATATTACTAAAGGTAAATCGTTAACCGCGAGAAAAAAATAGCAACAAAAAGAATCCAGTCACTTGCCGAATACATGACTTGAAACAAGAACAAGAAAAAATAATTTAGGGTAATTCAGGAGTATTGAGTGAGTTGATAACTTAATTAACCTCCGTAAAGAGTTTAAAAGCTGACGCTTTGAGCGTTAGCGCGAGAGCGACTGGAGCAATTATGGGGTGTGTATGGGTTTGTCTACAAAATATGGAGCTACGCTATTGGTGGTAATATAGTGACGAGAAAACAAGAATAAATTGAATGAAGGTTGTTCGTTGATACCGTAGGGATTAAGAGTGCCGATTTTAAAGACAAATTTTTGTTCTAAAGTTTTGCTACTTTTCGAACTGCCTATATGTAAGGAAAGGCCGCAAACTACCATATGCTGCTTAGAATGATTAGGGAGATTTAAGTGTCTAGCAACTGGTTTGGATGCGTCCTTGTCATTTGTTTCTTCGTCGCGAAAGTGTTCTCGGAATCGGTCACCTAATCGTCTCCCTTCCAAGAAACTAGAAGCTTACCTCACTATTAATTAGATACTTGAAAAAAATGGGACCTCGAGCTTCTTAAGATAACCCTTACATTTTTTCGTGACCACAAAAAAATAATCCTGCTAAATTTGCGGCCATGAAAGAAGTGAGTAAATATAGTGAATTGAAAAGTTAAGATAGAGATGGGCTAACGACGTAACATCTGACACCTGTCGCCGTTTCGTTCCTAAGTCAACAGGGGTGCGACACGTAGAAAACAGAAATTCAAATATTTTTAGAATAACTTTGCATTTGTAACCTGCATTAATTTTGAAATTGGACTTTTTCTCTCAGTTTGCCCTTGTTGATAACAAGTCATGGTGTCCCAAGATTCCCGTGAATTAGTAATTCACCGTATTATCTGGGTAAGGAAACGAATCCGATCCAAACAACACGCCGGCCAATACGTTGGTAGCAGTGTCGGCAAACAATCGGTCGACTGTCCACCGATTAACTGTCGACTTTCGATTTCATATCACTGGTGGTTTATTTAGGTGAAGAGGTTTTTGTTCTGTTTTATTGTAAAATTTACCTATCACAACTACAGTTTTCCTCCCTCTTACTTTTAATTCAAATCGCGCAGAAAAACTCGCCTTTTTTTCTCTCTCGTGTGATAAACCTCACAGCTTTCGGGCATTTTACATAGTCAGATGCCAGTGATAAATTTTACTCGGTGTAATTGTTATTCAAAAACTAAGGTTTAATTGATCTTGACTCGGAGGATGCTGTTAAGACGAAATATCCCTCGTTGTAACTAATTATAAGGATAACGACAAGACGATGATGGCGACAACAAATGTAACGGGAAGAGGAACACTTACGCAAACATTTAACCGATCGCTATGTTCCCCAATTTGGTTAGATGAGTTTAAACAGCAGTCCATTTCACTCTCAGCAGTCAACATTCTCCTCTCCATCACAGCAACTCTTGGGAATTCTCTTATCCTTGTTGCCCTTCACAAGGAATCTTCCCTCCATCCGCCATCCAAACTCTTGTATCGTTGTCTGGCAACAACTGATCTCTTGGTTGGTCTTGTTACCCAACCTATGTATGCTGCCTATTGGATGTCCGTGGTTCACGAACACTGGAGTCTTTGCCAATTCTCATTTTACGCAACCGGCGTAACAGGCTATGCGTTATGTTCAGTTTCCATGTTGACGCTGACGACCATAAGCGTGGACCGACTTCTCGCCATGTTGTTGGGACTGAGATACAAGGAGATTGTAACTTTGAGGCGCACATACATCATTTTAGCTATCGTTTGGATTGTATCTCTACTTTCTGGCTTGTTGTTTCATCTTAATTACCGTATAACTTTTTGGCTCAGTTTTACAGGTGCACCGTTATGCCTTGTTATATCAATCGCCTCGTACACAAAGATTTTTCGCGCAATCAGTCATCATCAGGCTCAAATACAAGATTATGCTCAACAACAGCCGAGCCAACCAAATGCACTGAACATGGCGCGATACAGAAAGGCAGTGTACAGTGCACTGTGGGTGCAGTTAGTATTAGTTGTCTGTTATGTACCAAACATGACAGTGGAAATTGTGATATCTTTGAGTCTAAAGGGATTATCGAATTTCATCGTAATCAGGGGAATGGCAAATGTCTTAGTGTTCTTTAACTCTACTTTAAACCCGTTCCTTTACTGCTGGAAGATAAGTGAAGTGATACGAGCAGTAAAGCTGACAATCAGACAAGCAATCTGCTATGCAGAGGGGTAGACCTATTTTAACGTTGGCATGTAGATTTTCTTCTATAACTTATTTGAAATATTATAAACTTTAAGAGAGAGGGGAAGACATGCCATTTCTTGATAAAAAGAGTAAGGAAAACACGGAGAGCTACTTATAAATGGTATATTGCATTCGAGTTATCTAATGAAGAACTCACAGATGAAAAATTGTAGTTTAGAAGCCACGAGAAAACAATAACATGTCTCCAATTTGCGCATTTCTAATGAAGTAGTAAAGCTATTATTTGGAATCAGAATGCACTCAGGGTTTTTCTTTGCGATCAAAACTTGATGATGATGTCACCTGAGCTCAATAATATGGTTTAGTGATAACGCGCTGTTAACGAAGCCAGCCGCACAATTTTTTCATGATTGGGAATTAGCCATAGTGCTCCTAGCGAAACTTTGTAAATTAAAGATGCAGACTTTGTTAACAGCTATTCAAATGTGCAGTAGGAAATGCTTAGAAAGGAAATTGGTAATCTCTATTTCATATAGAGTTATCGTTTGAGACCAATCGTTTGCCTAAGATTAAGCTCGCAAATTATATTATTGTTCGTTTTACTAGCTGAAAGGGTTAACAGGCTGTGTTGTTACTCGATAAGCTGTCAATGATAGCTGTGATGCAGACTACGAGTGACTACTACAGATATTTTCCTAGAGTCAGTATTGGAGCCTCTTATTACGAAAGAGGAATCGAGAGTTAGGCAAAATGAATGCAATCACCTGTCGTACACAAAACAGCTTTAATTGTTACTACGATAATATTTTGCAAAGGTTTCTGTAGCTTTATGCTTTGCGCCTATGAAGTTATTGAATATTTTTATTTAGTAGCAAAACTGTATTGTAAAAGGCTAGTTTGGTTTTTCGAAAAATAAAAAAAACAACAACAACAACAAAACAAAACCATGGCTAAAATAACATGGTATCGGGGACCATAGACTCATCCGAGTGAAGTTTTTTGTTTTTCAGTTTTCCGTACGTATGTGATCATAATTTTGACAAGTCCCGTGATCACAGCAATGGCATAAACACCTCGTCATCTGTCAATAGCTTTCAGTAAAGGTTTTCCTTAGTCAAACACTGAATTTGTTCATTATTTATTTAGAAGCAATTGTCATAGAGAGTATAAATTTGTTCCTGTTATACGATGCCATATCCAATACGTCGATACCAAAGCTTACCAATTTGATAAACAGGTAACTGAGACAAACAGACAGCATTGTTCAGTAACAAAATTCCGCTTAAAACCAGAGATAATTTGCACACAAATTGTCTCCCGTGAGTGGAATGTGTGAATTAAGATCGTTTGAGCAGCATTTCCACCCTCGGATCGATCTGGAGACCTTTTAGGGTATAAAGGCAGGATAAATTGTCGCAAAATTTCTTGTCACTGAACAACTGATTCCCTTTAAGGATGGTTATTTTATGCAAGGCGCACATGCTAATCTCAATGATATGTTTTGCGGCACAAAAGACACTTGAGATCGTTTGTGCATTTCAAAAAGGGTACCGTTTAAATGCTTGAGTATATTCATTTAAGCCACAGTGGATGTGAAGTTGTTGTGAAGGCGAAAGATCTCTGTTATATCCAAAGGAAAGTAGATATTAATGATGACGGCTTCAAATTTAACAACATTTGAAAGGCACACAAAAACATTTGAAGACCTAATTTGCTCGTCATCATTGGCAGGTGGATTGCAGCAACAATCAATTTATTTCACGGCAGTCCACATTCTCCTTTCGCTTATGGCATTTTTGGGGAACTTTCTCATCCTTGTTGTAAAAATTAAAGTTTTTGTATATACTGCAGGCGATTGCATTTATTCTGTCTAACTCTCGATTCCTTTTTCGTAATAAGTGGCTCCACTACTGGCTCGAAGAAAATATATGTAGTAGTGACTTGTACTCTGCATCCCAGCTTTATTATTATTATCATTTTTTTTTTTTATTTTGACAGCTTATCGAGTGATAACATAGCCTGTTCGAGGCCTTCATATTGTAAAACGAAGTGCACAGTAAACGGCACGATAGTCAAGGCAGAGCGGGAAAAAAAGTGAGACTTGGGTCGAGTCGAGTTAAGAACGGCGTTCACCCGACGCGACCCAACCCGATTCGACCCGACCCCACTCTCCCCCGTTTTTTCACTCTATCGCTGCTATCGTGTAGTGTACCATTTGCTCCGTTTTACTAAATGAACGCCTAGAAAAGGTTAGTGGTAACAACAGCAACTAAATATGAGTTCTGCTTCATAGCCTGGGACATCCTTCATCATTTCATCACATTCTGTTTAAAGATCAGGTTCAGCTTGGCTTGCCTGGCTTAGCTCATGACTCAGTAAGACAAAGTAAATTTATTTAAGTTTCATTTTGTCTATGAGATACAACTTTATTTATGGCAACGTTAATTTCCTCATATTATTTACTGATCTAAAATTCGCATACAACCTGTTATTCATTCCGTGATAATCGTAACGGTTCTGAGGACGGAAGGGAAGCGTTAAAGGGCACCACATAAAAAACGTTAGAGCGTAGCAGTTTTTAAAACAAAGTCCTTTTCCTTCCATTATACTTATTCTCTTTTCAGAACTTAAAAGACATGAATAATGTTTTGACTATTAGATGAATTCAAGCGCGGAAATGGTCCTTGCGGTGGTGAGCTGTCATACAAATCTTTTAATTAGGAGCAGTTGTAGGTGTTCAAGAGCGCGTGTTAGCAGCTTTTTTGCTCGATTGTCGTTAAAATGAGAGAATGTTTTCTCATAAGACCAGCTGTGTATACAAGGCTTATGATAGAGTCACGACATGTTCTTGAATATTCGAATTTGGTGATAAAAGAGCTTTCAAAATTACTTGCTCAAAGAAATTTATGGATAACCCCCCGAGGGCTACAATTTTCTACTCGATAAACAGTCCTAACTGATGCAGATAACAGACTGATAAACAATTAGTCTTATTAACATGTTAGAGTCTTAGCTCTATTTCTTATTATAAGTTTCTTCTGTCATAATTTGCAAACTTGCTCTCCGGCAAACGATTGGTCTCAAACGATAAATCTATAAGTGAAAATACTGATAATCAACTCATTTTCTAAGAATTGACTTCAAAATATTTAAACAGATGAAAACAAAGTCGACAAATTTTTGTTATAAGCAGATCGTGCCCGTGGCTCCTGTTACAATCCGTTAACACTTGACCGTGTATCTGAGCCAAAGTGACATATCTCGTTCAGTTTTGAGAAAACAGAAAAATCGTCAGCGCATTCTGCTTGAAAAGAATAGTCTCCATTGCTTCATTATAAGTGTTGTAGCCATAAAGTTAAAGACATCGCATACCGTACTCTTGTAAGGCCTAAACTCGAATATGCGTCCTCTGTATGGAACCCATATAGGCAGCATAACATAAGCAAAATTGAATCTGTCCAACGAAGAGCCCCTCGATTCGTCTTTAACGACTACTCGAATTATAGCCACGTTACACCTATAATACAAAGTCTTGGCTGGGATTCATTCCATCACCGAAGACTTCTTTCACAAGGCACTATGTTTTATAAAATCTATATGGGCCACGTTGGCATATCACTCCCATCTGATGTCACACCAAATGAAAGACTATCAAGAGCTCCAAACTGTCGTCCTTTCAAACAATTGAAAGTGAATAATGATATATATATATATATATATATATATATATATATATATATATATATATATATATATATAAATACTCTTTTCATCCAAGGATAGTAGTTTTGTGGAACAATATATCTCTAAGCTCTTCTAACATTGTTAATATAGATATATTTAGATCAAATGCTCTTTCATTTATTAGGTCGGTTTAGCCCATACTAATTTTATCTTTACGCTATTATATTATTTTGTTTTATCCAAGCTTTGTTTTTCTTACATTGTTAAATCTTAAACTTTATAAAAAATTATTTAATTTTATTCTTTGTAATTAGTCTTCCTGGTATAGTTATTACTGTTTCAGGAGTATCTCGATTAAAGGCACTTGTTTTAGTTTCTTTTAACTCGGCTTTAAACCCCGTCCTTTACTGCTGAAGGATCAGTGAGATGAGACAAGCAGTCTACTCCAATCTTTTTTACATTATACGTGTATACATGTATAATTACATTATATATGCCCTTACCACCGAACGACAGAAACTCCAAGGAAACAAGGCCATGACTAGCTTCATGTGTGCCTCGTGCCCTAAAGGAATCGCAATGTCATTTCATTCATATCCTTTTTATTCCAACCGGTAGTTGGCATTTCGGTTGACTAGCTTGGAATTAAACACGAGAAAAATAGACCAATTTTTTAATGGTTTTCTGGGTTTTCTCTAACCTAATGCTTTATTTCCTGTTTTCCACGCAATTCAGTAACAGGAAATACTAAAAAAACCACGGTTTTATCTACAATTCTTTTAGAGAGACTCTGCCAACAACATTTCGAGGTGTCCTCTAAAGAAAAATTTGCAAGTTGTAAATATTCCGCTGACTTCTGTTAAGTTAAGAATCCTTCCAGAGACGGTGATATATCCAAGCTGCTCCGAATCAAACCTTATTGTTCTTATACCTCTTGACATGGCTTCACCAAGCATTTAAAATCAAAAGACAAAGAAATTACAAAAGGCAGGGGGGGACGAACGTTGACTCGAATTCGAACTTGCCCTGTGGATTGAAGAATAATTTTTTTTACGCATAGAGAAGTGTCTTGACTAAGAGGTTCCTTAACCCCTTAACTCCTATGAGTGATCAACCAGATAAGTAATGAGAATAAATCAATATATCAATTTGGGGATAATTAGTTGATCCAATATTAAATTCTCTGCACTAACATTATAAGAATTGCATGGTTGACAGTAAGGAGAATTACAAATTTGATCTGGGAGTTAAAAGGTTTAACTTAATACTTGAATTCAGGTGTTGAAAGATACTACGACTAGAAAGTGGAGCGACTAACAAATACGAAATGTATGCTCTGATAAAAGGTATTACATTTACAGCATTCCCAGCCTTAGATTACTATTGAAAATATCTGAGGGCGACTCCGTCAGCTGCTTGTCTCCTGAATACCTAGCAACATAAAATTATATAATCTAATGATGTTAATGAATGGATGTCACATTTTGCTGGAAGTATTACTTTATAGCTAATCCTCTACGTTGTAGGTAATGATTACTCCATAATGCACCTATCATTTTAAAGCTTCAACATTTCTAGTTAAACTCAAAATGAAGCGATCTGGTACCGAAACATCTGCAACACAACCGTGTGTAAGCCTTGAAAAAGAGGGTGTTCAGTTCTTATTGAAAGGTTGCAAAATCGGGAAACTAGGCTCTATTTCATTCATTATTAGCTGGAAAAATGTTTGTTTAGTTGAGAAAATTCGATTCCTTGTCATTTCAGCAAATGCAGACTAGCGCGCAACTTGATTAGATTTTTTTATTTCCACACAGACCAGCAAGCACAAGGAAAACCATTTCGTAACCAGTCTTCTCCTCTTTGAGTTAGCCGAGCAAAAGAAAAACGGGTAACTCTTCCCCTAAGTGCCATGTATTTGTCATATTATTTGTTTCCATTTCGTCTTTTATATCATATTCACTTTTCAATTTCTCAGTAATGTAATCAGTACAAACGCTGTTCTCAAATGCCAGATAAAACTTAAATGTGCTGAAAATATCATTGCAATTGCTTGATGCCTGGCATTGATTGTCTTGGCCAAAGTTTCCCGAACAGTCGCCATAAACATCAACTTTAATGTATTTCAGAAGTTTTTTTACGTACTTATCTCGAGTTGTCCCTCAATTGGAAATAACATAACATAACATAACATAACACAACATAACATAACATAACATAACACAACACAACACAACACAACACAACACAACACAACACAACACAACACAACACAACACAACACAACATAACATAACATAACATAACATAACACAACATAACATAACACAACATAACACAATATAACATAACATAACACAACATAACATAACATAACATAATATAACATAACATAATATAACAGGTATCCGGTCGTTTCGCCTACGGGTCGTTTCGCCTACGGTCTGTTCGCCTACGAATAGAGTCGATTCGCCTACGTCTTATATGTCAGTTCGCCTACGAGTTAACAGAAACGTCAGAAGTTTAATAGTTAAGGTTAACTTTAGGTTAAGTTACACATTAATTTAAGTAAAACTTATGATCGCAAAGTCGATAAGCATCGAAGTTAAGTTAAGTCGAGTTTAGTTAAAACAAGCCGGTTAAGTTTATGATTTCAAGATTGTCAAGTATGAAAATTAGGCTAAGTTTTCTTCGGTTGGCTTTCCTTTAGGTTAAGTTGCACATTAATTTAGGGTAGCTAAGTTTAGGTAGAATAAGGCTGGAATTTCGAACTTAAGGCGAAATAGATAGCAAGGGTTACATGTGAATTATTTTATCAAGGGGCGGGTGTCACTAGGACAACCCACACGTTCCCGCATGTAATAAGTGTATTAGAATTAACACAGAGTGCGGAGGAGTAACATATTTTGTAGTTAAATTTTATGATCGCTGACGGTTTGATTGTCGATTATACAGTTAACACAGGCGAATCGTACGATCGGCTCGGTAAACTTTTCGCCTCGCCTACCGTCACAATGAACTCCTCTGCGCCCTGTGGAATTAAACGCGAATGATCTGTTGTTTAAGGGGCAGGTGTCACTCGGATAACCTAAACGTCCTCGCATGTAATAAGTGTATTAGAATTAAAATGTCGCGAAATGAGTACGCTTCATGGTTACTGAGTGTAATTGGAGAACCGTGTAATTCGCAACTCAGAATATGCGATATTTACATAACTTGTTTTTACTCGAACGAAGATGAATCAAATTAAAACGGAAATTTTCAGGTAAACCAACGCTCCTTATTTACAATTATTTAACTTCGATAGGCTTGACTTTATGAGTCACGCTCTAGGAATTGAATCGCGATCGCACATAAAGTAGATGAATCAACTGTTGTAAGACATGTTTTAACACGTAGGCGAACTGACATATGAGACGTAGACGAATCGACTCTAACCGTAGGCGAACAGACCGTAGGCGAAACGACTCGTAGGCGAAACGACCGTAATTCATATAACATAACATAATATAACATAACATAACATAACATAACACAAATTTTTTTTTCTCAGCTGCATGGGCAGGAATTTTCGCCGGTTTCTTAGCTGACGGCAAAGAAACATAATTTCCATAAGGATAGGGAAAATCTGACTCCCTTTTGAAAGTTATAGTTCAATTAAAGAAGCCCTCCGGCAAGGAAAGACGGTTCTTTTAATCTGGGTTATCGACAATGGATTATTGGTTTGAAAACGCCATTCTTTGCTGTGGGCACCGGTAATTGTGAATTTCTTTCGTTCTTACATAACTTTGCACATCACGAGCATGAAAAATAAATAAATCACTTTTTCCTATATCGTAAACATTATACGTTATTTGGGATTTTTTGTCGGACATTTCAAAAGATACTCTTCCGTGGAGTTGGCTCCGGGCCATGGCTTGCTACCAAACATAGGAGTGTAGAGAAAAATGGTTTTGGTGTCATTACTAAAGTAAGCGCTTTAATGTCTTGCGAGGTTGATTTTGTATATGTGCTGTTTCCATTGGCTGGCCCGACTTGAATGACTCCGATGACCGCGTGCTACACTGGACTATGTACCTCAATGAGAATTGGAAGAGTTAATTATCAGTCAATTGTTTTCAGTTGTAAATATTACGCCAAGGTATACTACCACGCGAGATGGTATAGCTTGTCTTGGTAAATGCCGTAACCAATCGGATCGCGCGTAGTGACAGACACGTGCCAAATACTCTTTACTGGCAATGTTACTTAACAGGCGCTCGTATCTTGGCTCAGTCTGCCTCGTGGCTTATTAAAGTTCGGAAAATCCTGACGACTACAATAATGCTTCCCGTTTTACCGATCTACCATCCCTCCGCTGCAGTTGGATTCGTCAATTCCTCAGCCAGGACAATACTTATTTCATAGCACTGGCGCACAGAACCAGAACCAGAACCAGAACCAGAACCAGAACCAGAACCAGATGGGTGTTGTTTCCATTTTGAATCGACAGGATTGCTATATTCCGTCGAATTCTCCTCGTCTGAAGTGACATCAAATGCAACGTCTGCAAGAATCGCCCTCTCATTCGCATAGATATAACGAAAATAAGGACAAGAGAGGTCATCAAAAACGCTTCGTCTCCTGCCATTTTTGAAATGTGCGTGCTTTTGTAATTTGAATCGTCAGCGGGTTAAATCCTGAGTCAAATTTTCCAGTTAAAACAGATGTCACGTTTAACTAGCAAACGTTAGTCTCTAAACAAACATCTACAAAGAATTTTTAGCTAGCTAATCGGCCTAATAAAAAGGCACTCTCAGTTTGCCTGAGCTGATAACAATTCATGGCGTTCACAGATCACTTGAATTAATAATTCAAAATATGTCGAATGTCGACCGACTGTCGGTCTACTTTCGATATCCTATTACTGAAGGTTTTTTTGAGTGAAGAGGTTTTTCATTTTATAATTTTTTTTTTTTTTTTTATTTTTTATGTTGTGTTAGGAAATTAACCTATCATAAATGCATTTTTAATTTCCCCTTATTACTAATTCAAATTCGCGCAGAAAAACCGGCTTTTTTTTCTCTTTCGTGTCACAAATCTCACAGCTTTCGGGCATTTTACATAATCAGACGCTAGTGATGAATTTTTTACTCTCTGATCTAGACTTAGAGGGTGCTGTCGAAATATTCTTTGTTTGTAACTAAGGATAACCTGTAAAAGAGTGGAAACGACTGCAGGATGATAATGATAACAAATATAACGGGAAGTGGAACACAGACGAAAACATATGAAAGATTGTTATGCTCACCAGTTTGGGTAGGTGAATTAAAACAACAGTCCATTTCATTCTCAGCAATCAACATTCTATTCTCCATCACAGCAATCCTCGGGAATTCTCTTATCCTTGTTGCCCTTTACAAGGAATCTTCCCTCCATCCGCCATCCAAACTCTTGTACCGTTGTTTGGCAACAACCGATCTGTTGGTTGGTCTTGTTACCCAGCCCCTCTGTGCTACTTATTGGATGTCTTTGGTTCACGAACACTGGAGTCTTTGTCGATACGCAAGGGACGCAATCTACATATCAGGCTATGCATTATGCGGAGTGTCTTTGTTGACTCTGACGGCCATAAGCGTAGACCGACTTCTCGCCATGTCGTTGAGATACAAAGAGATTGTAACTTTAAGGCGCACGTATATCATTTTAGCTATATTTTGGGTTGTATGTCTAGTCGCTGGTTTATTCTCTCTTTTCGATTACCATATAACCTTTTGGTGCGGCTTTATAGTTATATCATCTTGCCTGATTATCTCCATCGTCTCGTACACAAAAATTTTCCACGCTATCAGTCATCATCAAGCTCAAGTACAAGAGCATGCTCAACAACAGCCGAGCCAACCAAATGCACTGAACATGGCGCGATACAGAAAGGCAGTGTACAATGCGCTGTGGGTGCAGTTAGCTCTAGTTGTCTGTTATGTACCACAATTTACACTGAAAATTGCGATGTCTCTTAGTAAAGAACGATTTCCGAATTTCATTATAATCAGCGAAATGGCAACTTTCATTGTGTTATTTAACTCTACTTTAAACCCGTTCCTTTACTGCTGGAAGATAAGTGAAGTGAGAGGAGCGGTAAAGCAGACAATCAGACAAGTAATCTGCTATGCATAGGAGTAGACCTATTTTAACGTTGGATTGTACCGTTATTCTATAGGTTATTTTGAAAAATTATAATTGTTATAAGAGAGGGGAAGGAATGCCATTTTATGATAAGAAGAATGAGGAGGAAATATGAGGAGCTACTTCTAAATAGTATATTGTAGTTGAATTATCTAACGGACGACAAACAGGCGACAAATTGTGGTTTAGTAACAAACAAAACAATAATATGTCGCAAATTTGCGCATTTCTAATGAAGTAGTGAAGGCTATCAGTTATTTTGGAATCAGAACGCGCTCAGGATTTTTTTTTCGATAAGATATTTATCACCTTAGATCGGAAATAGGGTTTCGTGATAACGCACTGTTAACGGATCCGGCCGCTTGATTTTGTCATAATCGGAAATTAGCCATTGAGTTTACAACGAAACTTTGTAAATTAAAGATGCGGACTTTGTTAACATCTGCTCAAATACACAGAAGGGATTGCTTAGAAAAGAAGTTTATCATCTCTCTTTCAAATGGATTTATCGTTTGAGACCAAGATGATTTGCAGAAAAAAGAGTTGTCCCAAGTGAAGGAGAATTCGTAATGTTAATGATGTTTGAAGTAAACTGTTCACTACTAGATCTATCTTCACACTTTTTAGGGCATAAAGGCAGAGTTTAATGTTGTTTGATAGGTAGAGAAATTGTGATTATCTAAAACCGGTTTCAGTCAAGTGCGACGCGTACAGAACAAAGAACAAAAATTCAAATTTTCTTAGAGGTAACTATGCATCTGTAACCATACATTAATTTTGAATAGTTTTATTTCATCCAGTTTTCTATTTTTCCCAATACCGATTACCGTTTACAAAAAAGGCTTTTAACTTCAACTAAGATAATTCACGGCGTCTTAAGGTTGCATAAATTATATCAACCAGCTTATCAATGAAAGTTTATTTGAGTAAAGAGGGTTTTGTATGCATAGGGGTAGACCTATTTTAAAGTTGGAATAAACTGCTTTTTCTGTAGCTTATTTGAAAAATTATAATTGTTAAAACAGAGGGAAGGTATGAAGAGCTACTTCTTAATAGCATATTCGAATAACAAATAACCAATAGGTGAAAAATTGTAGTTTGTAGTCAAGTTGCGCGTTTTTGATGGAGTAGCAAAGGCAATCAGTTATTTTGGAATCAGAATACGCTCAGGTTTCCTTTGCGATCAAAATTAAACTTTATGAGATATGTCACCTTAGATCAGAAATATGGTTTAGTGATAACGTACTGTGAACGGAGCCAGCCGCTCGATTTTTCATGAGTGGAATTAGCCATGGTGTTTTTAACGACACTTTATAAATTAAACATGCAGACTTTGTTAACATCTGTTCAAATATGGGGAAATGCTTACAAAAGAAGCTGATCATCTCTATTTATTATAGAGTTATCATTTGAGACCAATTGTTTGCCTAAAATTATCTCGCAGATTATAACACAAGAAAATTATAATAAGAAATGATTGAAAAAGCTCTAACATGGTTGATAAGAGTAGCTATTTTTCGGTATGTTACCAACATCAACTTTTTACCGAGTACCCTAATGAGCCTACAAAATTTTGACCGCTGCAATGAAGAATATCGTTGTCGATAACAGCACAGACCACAATGAACCATGGCCACGGTCGATTTCTTAAATGGAGAATTTTCGCTAATAGCAATGTTTACTACTAGAACCTAACATATATTATAAAAGCTGAAGATGATTTGCAGAAAAAAGTATTGTCCTTAGTGAAGGAGAATTCGTGTTGTTAATGATGTTTGCAGTAAACTGTTCCCCGCTAAATCTATTTTCACACTTTCTAGGGCACAGAGGCAGAATTCAATGCAGTTTGATTAGTAGAGAGGTTGTCATTACCTCAAAGTTCCATTCAGGTGTGTCACGTAGAGAACAAGGAACAAAAATTCAAATATTTTTAGGGGTAACTATGCATCTGTAACCATACATTAATGTTGAATAGGTTTATTTAATCCAGTTTTGTATTTTTCCTTATACCGATTAGCGTTTTCAAAAAAGGCTTTTACCTTCACTTAAGATAATTCTCGGTGTCTTAATTTTGCATAAATTATATCAATAGTCGATAAACCATCTTATCACTCCCCAATGAAAGTTTATTTGAGTAAACGGGGTTTTTGTAGTCGTATTGTGAAATAATTCTACCACAAATGTATATTTGCTTGCGGGGTGCTGCTGATTCAAATTCGCGGAAAAACCTGGCCGTTTTTTTTCTTTTTCGTGTAATGCACCAGACAGCTTGTTAGTGCATTTTGCATAATCAAATGCTACTGATGAACTTTATATGTAATCATTATTCACAGATTGAGGTTTGGCTCATTTACAAGATCATGTTTGACAACAGCCTAACAAAACAAATTCATCGAACATGGCGCGATACAGAAAATATCTTAAAGTTTAAACCGATTATGGAATTTCTCCATAATCAGGGGCATAGCGAATGTTGTAGTTTTCTTTAACTCCACTTTTAAACCCGTTTCTTTACCGTTGGAAGATCAAAGATGAAGAAGAAGAAGAACCTTTATTGATTTATACCGCTCAGGGTAGCCCTTTCAGATGCAAAAAGCTGTCTGCTATCAATGGAAGCCCTGAGGACAACAAAGCACTAAAAATATGGTATACATGTGCATTACAATGATACTGATATTAATATAGATAGAAAACTACGTACAAGTAAAAAATTTAGAACTAAATAAATACGAAATACCGTCAAGATAGTTCGTTAAAAAGAGTGCACCCATAGTAATAGAAAGATCGTTTTGTGATCTCAGTCCTCACAGCGGGCGGATGTAAAAGGTTGCTTTATCTAGTGGCGCGGGCGTAAATTATAATATATAGATTTAGGCAAGCCTAAAAGCGGAGCTCTCATTTTTTTTCCCGCACATCTCTTCAACAAAACTAAAGCCCCTACTATGGATAAAGTGTGTGGTAATATTGATGGATTTTCATTCGCAACTTCTCCATTTCCTTATAGAGGATTGATTATATTACAGATGCTATGGGGTTAAATTTAAAAGTATATGTTTACTAACAGTATATATGCTATTGATGGTAATCAAAAGTCTATACGCAAATTTTGGGGGTCTCCATAAAAAAAGCTTGCAGCGAGAAGTTGAAAATTATCAAGAACAGATAAGAAAATTATGGAAACCGTTAAAAAGTTTTCCCAACAAGAAAATGTAAGGACTCGTTTAATTTTGAGCACGTATGGTCACTTGCCAATTTTCCAAAGAATGTGAAACTGCGGTCTCAACCTCTCAATACACTGCTAGTGCTCATAAAGCACGACACGCAGTATTCCAAATCGCAAATAATTGTTATCCGGAAGCGCAGAAGGCGCTCAGAAACTTACTAAGCAACCTGAGTAAAAGTCGGCCATTGAGACTTGCAATGAAAACTCCGCCCGACAAAAGGCCAGCACAAGATCTCCAAAATAAGACATCTATTACGGCTAATAAAGGAAGAAATACAACACGTTTGCGTTTCACATGAAAATTCGAAGTGAAGATGAACTGAAGGATTGACGATTGATTGTGCATTCTGGGTAAGCTATGTACAAGCTCCCATTGGAGCAATAAAGAGGTATGACGGAGGTGTGTCCATAACCACGGTTACTGAAATGAACTTTTTGAACTTTTTTTCCTGCAGGAGAGAGGATAGTAACTCGTGAATCTGCTTCGACTGCAACTGATCGATAAACCGATAAACATGTAATGCGGATATATTGCACAGCATCACATGGATAAACATTTTATCTCTGAGACGTAATTTATTGGCTCCACTGCGGTAAGTTAATGGAATATTCACAATTATTTACCAAGTATCAACTCATGCAAACCAGATTGCAATATTTGAGACCTGCTCCTCTTCTATGTTTCTTAAAGTAAAGGAATGTCGACGTGTGTTGTTTCAGGAAATACTGAAGGCACCCTATAGCAGCCAAGCTGTGAATGGTGTATACATGTATCCTAACACACAGTGCAAGAATGAAAACCAAGGGCAAGGAGTTAGTTAAGATTATCGATATATGCGACAGTCGTGCACACTAGATTTTTCCAGTTGCAATAAATTTCAATATCTGTTGGAACAACACAATTCAAACTTAACAGAGTGTCTCTGTAAGAGCGGTCCGGTCGATTTTGCTTGAGACACGGATTTCGCTCATTTCTCGTGTGTTGTAAGACATTCATGTGCCTGTACTAAAACCACAATCAGTTTGATCGGATCTCTTTATTTTTCAGAGTTTTACGGAAATTAAATTTCACTCGAGAGAAGGCTTGTCGTGACACTTTTCAAGACTTTAATTTCATACAACTTTAGAGGACAATTTACAAAAAACTACGGAACTCAGCAAGAAACAAATACCACAGCCATGAATATTAACTCTATTTTATCTATCGAGGCGACTTTCGTAAACATCACGTGTCAATCAAGGAAACAGGAAGACTTGAATGACACCTTATCGGTTCGCCTAAATCACACACGCCAAAACCGATCAAATTCAAGGTAAATTTTTGAAAAAGTGAGGCGTTCTTAACTGATCCAACTAACATAGCTAGGAAGTAGGTGCCATAGAAAAGGTAACTACAGAAAAAAACTTTGCGGCCCGACCTTTATGAGAACTTTATAACTCCGTGAACTTACCTAATTTTCGGCAATCTCCAAGTTTGGCCGCCATTTTGAGGGACTTGTCAACATGAAGCGTAACCGATATAAATCAAGCAAGTAGATCTAAAACCGTCAGAAATGCATACGAAAGTAATTCAAATGAACTTTATCTTCAATTCAAACGGCAAAATTTGAAATTGTTCGTTAAACTTACCATCCCCATGCGACCATTTATTCCAACAATTCAAACACTACAACTTTTTTAATTCCCCTCGTCGATTCCACCACAAGAAATAACCTGTGCCACCCAAGCTTCGACTCGAATGTGAAGTACGAATCAAATAACATAACTGCTTCATCTTTGCGGCAATATCACGCTGGTATTTTGATTTTCCGATCGACAAGAACGGTGATCAAGAATCGATCGGTTTGTTTACCTCATAAACGTGACCGCCGACCAGCTGCTGAGTGAAAACAGTACGGTTCAAACAAAAAAATGTATATGAATTAGTATATCAATCCAAAGATACTCAGTCCATGGGTTGTTAGTAAAAGTTAGCAAAAGAAGTACATTGGTTCTAAAACCCTTTATATCTAGTCATAGTAAAAAACTTAAAAAAATACAATGCCGTTGCTGGCGCATATGTAATCATACTGATAAAGGACTTGCTTTACGCGCTGCCTGATACGAAAACACGAAACACAATCAGGGATAAAAATTGGGAACGTATTGCCCAACCAAATGCAACCGGCGGCACAAACTCTGGGGGTAAGAGGTGTAAATTACTGACTAAAATTGTGATCAATACATTTTGAAAGATCGAGTATTGAGCTGAATACCGTACAATCATCGATCCTTGCGAAAAACCTTTACAACAATCGCCCACTAATTAGGGCTCCAATACATATATGTTATCACTAACTGTAACCATTATTTTGCTAACTTCCATTTTTACAATATTGTTGCCTTGAAGTAACACTTATAGGGAGATCTCAAGTATTTCAAACCACTAGACAATTTAACAACATTTACATCTGATATATTGGTCTACTACTGCCATAGTAACCGATAATGAAATTACCATTTTATAATTAGAGTGGGGAGGGGGAAGGAGTTCATTGTAGGGAAGCTTTAAAGTATCTACCGATTGTTTTTTCAGCAAATTTCATCACGGATATTGTAGTATACACATGCATTAAGTTATCATTAAAGCTGACTTTTTGTGCTCACATAAAGTGACAGATGATTAAAAACTACATAGAATCAATTTTGTTAAATAAAAGAAATTTACAAAGTTTCAGTGCAAAATAAAGATTTCATTATAACTCAAAGTGAGGAGTTATTTTTTTCTGTTGTATTGTAAAATTAAACTATCACAAATGCAGTTTTGCTAACCCCTTATTGTTAATTCAAATTCCCGCTGAAAAACTGGCCTTCATTTACTTTCGTGTGACAAACCTCGCAGTATTCGGGCATTTTACATAGTCAGATGCTAGTGATGAATTCTTACTCTCTGTTATTGCTATCCAAAAACTAAAGTTTAACTGATCTTGACTTGGAGGCTGCTGTAAAGACGAAATATTTCTCGTTGTTACTAACTTAAGGATAACTTGCAAAAGAGTGGATACAACAAAAAGAGCTACAACAACAGATATAACAGGAAGTGGAACATAGACGAAAACATTTGAAGGATCGGAATGCTTCCCCTATTGGGTGGGTGAGTTTAAACCACAGTCCATTTCATTCTCAGCAGTAAACATTCTCTTCTCTATCACAGCGACTCTTGGGAATTCTCTTATCCTTGCTACCCTTCACAAGGAATCTTCCCTCCATCCGCCATCCAAACTCTTGTATCGTTGTCTGGCAATAACTGATCTGTTGGTTGTTCTTGTTAATCAGCCTGTCGCTGCTACTTATTGGATGTCTTTGGTACACGAACACTGGAGTCGATACGCGAGGGACGTAGGCTACATAACAGGCTTTACATCGTGTGGAGTTTCTCTGTTTACAATGACGGCCATAAGCGTGAACCGACTTCTCGTCGTGTTGTTGGGACTGAGATACAAAGATATTGTCACTCTGAGGTGCACGTACATCATTTTAGCTATAGTTTGGGTTGCATGTCTAGTCGCTGGTTTATTCTCTCAACTCGATCACCGTATAACCTTATGGTGCAGCCTTATCAGTATATCATTTTGCCTGGTGATCTCAGTCGCCTCATACACAAAGATTTTTCGCGCTCTCAGTCATTATCGGGCTCAAATACAAGATCATGCTCAACAACAGCCGAGCCAACCAAATGCACTGAACATGGAGCGATACAGAAAGGCAGTGTACAGTGCACTATGGGTGCAGTTAGCTTTAGTTGTCTGTTATGTACCACAATTTACGATGCAAATTGTAATCTCTCTTAGTACGAAACAATTTTCGAATTTCTTCATCTTCCCGGGAATGGCAAATGTCTTACTGTTCCTTAATTCTACTTTAAAGCTATTCCTTTACTGCTGGAGGATAAGTGAAGTGAGACGAGCAGTAAAGCAGACAATCAGACAAGTAATCTGCTATGCATAGGAGTAGACCCATTTTAACTTTGGCATGTAAATTTTCTTCTATATAGATTATTTGAAAGAATTCTAGATATTATGAGTGAGGGAAAGGTATGCCATTTCATGATGAAAAAGGGTAAGGAAAAATATGAGGAGCTACCTCTAAGTAGTATATTGTATTTCGAATTATCTAACGAACAACTTAAACGTGACAAAGTATAGTTTAACAAAACAATAACACTTCTCCAATTTCCGAATTTGTAGTGAAGGCTATCAGTTATTTTGGATTTAGAATGCGCTCAGGATTTTTCTTTGCGATCAAATTTTGATCAAATATGCCACTTTTGCTCAGAAATATGGTTTAGTGATAACGAGCTTTGAAAATAGCCGGCCGCTTGATTTTGTTATAACTGGGAATTAGACATACAACGAAACTTTGCAAATCAAAGATGCACTTTTTTAGTTGTCATAATGCTTTTTACCTTAAACTAAGATAAGCGTCCTAAGTTTGCAGAGATTATATACAGTGTACTTTGGTAACAGTTAGCTTTAGCTGTTTGTTATGTCCAAACTTAAGAGCGCAAATTGTGATATCTTTGAGTTTAAACCGATTATCGCATCTAAGAGAAGGTTGTCCATAGATTTCTTTGAGCAAAATCGAATATTCAAGAAGATTTCGTGGCTCTATCACACGCCGTGTACACACAGCTAGTCTTATGAGAAAACATTCTCTCATTTTAATGACAATCGAGTACAAAAGCTGCTAACTCATTTCCGCGTCTGAATATCATCTGATGGTCAAAAAACTCTTTATGTATTTATATATTTAGTTGCTGTTGTTATCACTAACCTTTTCTAGGCGTTCAAATAGTAAAACGGAGCAAATGGTGCACGGCACAATAGCAGCGGTGGAGTGAAAAAACGGGGGAGAATTGGCTCGGTCGTGTCGGGTCGGGTCGGGTGAACGCCGTTCTTCACTTCACGCTCTACCGTGACTAACGCGCCGTTTACTTTGCACTTCGTTTTACCATATGATCGCCTCGCACAGGCTATGTTATCACTCAATAAGCCGACATATGTTAACAAGTTACTATTACAGATATTTTCTTTGAGTCAGTGGTGGAGCCAGTTATTACGAAAGAGGAATCGAGAGTTAGACAAAATGAATGCAATCACCTGTCTTTTACATCACAACTATAATTCCTACTATGGTAATGTTTTGCAGTCAAATAATGACTCAACGAAAACAATTGACTTACCTTACTTAATGGTTTATAAAGGAAACAATATCTGTAGCTTTATGTTTTGCGCCTTTGAAATGATTGAATATTTTTATTCTTTAGAAAAACCGTAGTGTAGAAAAACGCTACCGTGATAGTTCAAAAAAAAAAAATAAACAAAACCTCAGTTAAAATAATATGGTATTGGTGACAATAGATTCATCTAAAGGAAGTCTTCAAGCTGCTTCCTGATCGAGACACATCTCCGCCGCAACCTTTTTTTTTTTTTTCAGCTTGCCTTACGTATGTGTTCATAACTCTGACAAGCGCCGAGATCACAGCGTTGGCATAGGCACTTCGTCATCTGTCAATAGCTTTTAGTGAAGGTTTTCCTTAGTCAAACACTGAGTTTTTTCCCACCAAATATTTTGAAACAATGGTCACAGGGAGTATAAATTTGTCCCTGTTGTACGATGCCATATCCAAAATGTCATTTACCAATTTGATAAACAAGTAACTAAGGCAAACAGCATTGTTCATTGACAAAATTCCGCCTAGGAACCAGAGATAATTTGCATTCACGATGTCTCCCGCGGGAGGAATATTTGAATTATTTATGATCTTTTGAACAAAATTTCCATCCTTTGGTCTATCTTGAGACCTTTCAGGATATAACAGCAGAATAAATTGTGATAGGATTTCTTTTCGCTGAACAACTGATTCCCTTTCAGGATGGTTAATTAATGCAACGTATGCATGCTAACCTCTGAGGAAATTTTGATATGTTTTGTGGCACAAAAGACACTTGAGATCGTTCGCTTATTTCAAACAGGGTAAATGATACCGTTTTAATGCTTGAGTACACATGCATTATTAAAAGGTGAGATTTAAGCCACAGTAGATGTGAAGTTGTTGTGAAGGCGAAATATCTCTGCTATATTCAAAGATAACTAGATACTAAAGATGCCGACTACAAATTTAACAGCATTTGAAAGGCAAATAAAAACATTTGAAGACCTAGTTTGCTCGCCATCATTGGCAGGTGAATTGCCACAACAATCAATTTATTTCACGGCAGTCCACATTCTCCTATCGCTCGTGGCATTTGTGGGGAACTTTCTCATCCTTGTTGCCCTTCACAAAGTATCTTCCCTTCATCTGCCGTCCAAAGTCTTGTATCGTTGTTTGGCAGGAACTGATCTGTTAGTTAGTATTGTTAGCCAGCCTTTCGCTACCAGTTATTGGATGTCCTTGGTTCACGAAGAGTGGTATCTTTGTCGACTCGCATACGAAGCAGCGTACATTACAAGCTATGCATTATGTTTGGTGTCTTTGTTGACAACGGCGGCCATAAGCGGGGACAGACTTCTCGCCCTTTTGTCGGGGCTAAGATACAGACAAATTGTAACTTTAAAGCGCACGTACTTCATGGTAGCAACCTTTTGGGTACTGTTTGTCGTGGCTGTTTTATCCTATATTTTAGACTACCGAATAGATATGTGGTGCAGCCGTATAATTATACCATCTTGCATGATATTCTCAGTGGCCTCGTACATAAAGATTTTCTGCGTTCTCGGTCATCACCAGGCTCAAGTACAAGGTTTTATACAACAACAGCAGAACCAACCAAATGTACTAAACATGGCGCGATACAAAAAGGCAGTGTATAGTGCACTATGGGTGCAGTTAGCATTAGTGAGTTGTTAAGTGCCAATAGGTGTATCGGGAATTGTTATTGCATCTAGTAATACATACTCATCACATTTAATCGTCACCTGGGGAGTGGCACTTGTTTTAGTTTATTTTAACTCGGCTTTAAACCCCGTCCTTTACTGCTGGAGAGTCAGTGAGATGAGACAAGCAGTGAAGCAGACAATTAGCCAAGCATTGTGCTGTCCATTGAATTAACTCTCTTCTGACTTACACATGTATCAATCCTGAAAAACTGATTTATGAAATTACGGCCGCAAGAAGAGAGGAAAGTTTTATTAATAGCAGCGGTCAGATTTAGATCTTTTGTTTTTTTATAATGATCAAAGATTGAATAGAGAATCGAAAAGCCAACCATACCTCACCAGTAATGCGTTTATCATGGTGACAAAAACTTGTAATCGAAAAAAATATATATCTTTATGTTTGGATTGTCTAATCCAATCTTTTTTACATTATACAAGTAAAAAATAGAATGAGTAAGATGGTAAATTTTGTATACGGTACTGAACCAGAGAAATATGTTTTTCGTCTTGTCAAGTGTGTAGATGGACGCAAAAGGGGGTCAGTAAAGCCGATGAAGCTTCGATTTTGTTAATAAAGTGCTGGGGACAGTTACAAGGAAAACGTATGGAAAAGATTCAACTATTTCGTATGATTGACTCGACGTCTTAAATTGATTGATCATGTGTTTTTCTTTGCAAATAATTTTTTTCCCCAAGGTTAAATTTTAATGCGAAAAACAAAGATGAAATTAAACATACTTTCAATATCCGAAAATTTTTAATAGGAATGGTCGATTTAATTCATATTGCTAGAATAAAAGGAGACAAAATTATGGAAATTTTTTCTTGTCTAAATAGTGTTTGACCTGTGGAACTGATGTAATGATATGAATGTTCCTGGTTTCAGTAGCATGGCCATTAGTGTTTTTCTTTTGAAAATCTTCTCCCTTCTTACTTCGATATGAAATTTGCGTAATGAAAATAAAAATATATATCACTACTTAAAACGCATCTTTGTAGACTTACAATGTTCGATATGACATGTCTACTATCCATTATGAACCAGTGCCTTACAGGTTTTGATTAAAATATTTACTCGATCGGAGGTAGAATGTCTTTAATTATCCGTCAGAATCGAATTCATACTACGATCCTTGTGTTTAACACAGTCTTGAAGTTAATTTGATAACTTAGGGGGAACATTCTTACATTATCTAATGTGAAGAAAAAATATAGACCCCACTCACTTGTCATGTTTATTTAAAAAAAACCGTTCCTCGTCTTATTTCCAAATTCACTTTGAAAATAGGAAAATGGTCGAAAAAAAATTGACGCCGAATGCAATTTCTCGCTCCAGTAACCAACTTCCACTTTTGAGTTGAACCATTTAGAATTGAGAGGAGAGGGTAAAAACTCAATGAAAGAAATTATGAAGGCAAAATTGTATAAAACAAACCTTGGTTTGGCCATTTAATATTTCCAGCTCTCTTTTTCTTTTTCAGGTTCAATTACAATTAGATGTGACCCGTCAAACATTATGTCAATGAACGTCGACGGACATTTCAACTACAGGTTTTTTCTTAATTATATCCTCTGACAGTTGAATTGAGAATGTTCTTGGTGACTTCTAGTTTCTTTAAATAAAAGTTTACCACTGATTTTGCTTTCCATATATTTGAAGCTACTTTTTTTCTCAAAAAGGCATCAGATCTCCCATGGATGCCCCTCAAGACATTTGCTATGGTTTCATCTGATTTCACCAAATTTGGTTATTTGCTACATTACTTGCACTTATCGCAAAAAGTTATACATTGGCGAGACAGGAAGACGGCAAGGTGACCAATTCTGAGAACACCTTCACAACGTAGAAAGAAATGACAAGGACGCATCCAAACCAGTCGTTAGACTAAAATCTCATTGCAGCCTTTCCTTGCACCTAAGAAGTTCGAAAGCAATTAGAAAGGCATCTAAGCAGTTCGAAAGCCGAAAAACTTTAGAACAAAAATTTATCTTTCAAATCGCCAAAGTGTATCTCTATTTTCTGCATATAAACACACACACAACCCACAATTCCTCCATTCGCTCTGACGAGTGACTAACGCTCGAAACGTCAGCTTTGAAGCTCTTTACGGTGGACAATTTACGTTATTAACTAAGTTGATAATACCAAATTACCTTGTTCCAGGCTAGGTGATTTCGAATTTCAATTCATTATCATCAAATTGCAACAGAATTTAGTGAAAAAAAAAAAAAAAGATAAAAATCGTTCACCTGCCGTTTACGTGGCAGCTTGTTAAGAAAAGGCTTGTGGGAGTTTTCTACGACTCGATCTTTTCTTTTCCTTCTTGGAAACCAGTGGCAGCTAAAAAAAGCAAAGTGCGCTCAAGAATCTTTGCAGTATTGGCTGGTCCAGGCGAGGTTGCGTCAAAGATAGGAAAACGTTGGGGAGTCGTTCTCGATAATCATTCACTACATTGACTACATTCAAATGGTGAATAACTCTTCCAATATAGTCTGTTCTTTCCTGAAAAAAGAGGGGTTGTAACTTACACTCTAATTAAAGCCGGATTGAAGATCGAAAGCATTTCCGTTAAATGGTTGTTTTCTAAATAAAGAGTTAAGCTCAAAAGTGTTTGACATACTCTATGTAGATTAACTTGCAAACAAAGAGAAAAGGTTACATAGACAAAGGTTTTTTCAATTTTCTTCTTGTCGCGAGCGTGGAACAAAGAAAAATTCTGAGTCCTTGTAAGGAATTGAGCCTTAGGCTAGGAATTCTTTGCCCTTACCAGTGAACAACAGAGACTCCGAGGAAACAAGGCCATAACTAGCTTCATGTGTGACACGTGCCCTAAAGGAATCCGCAATGTCATTTCGTTCATATCCTTCCTATTCTAACCAGTAAATGGCATTTCGGTTGACTAGCTTGGAATTAAACATGAGAGAAAAGTAGATCAATTTTTAATGGATTCGCTGGATTTTCTCTAGCCTAAGGCTTTATTTCCTGTTTTCTACGCAATTTAGTAACAGCTAATAATAAAAAATCGTCGGTTTCATCACAATCAGAGAGACTCTGCTGACAACGTTTCGAGATGTCCTCGAAAGAAAAAATTGCAAGTTGTAAATATTCCGCTGGCTTCTGTTAAGTTAAGAATCCTTCCAGAGACGGTGATATATCCAAGCTACTCCGAGTCAAATCTTATTGTTCTTATACCTCTTGACATGGCTTCACCAAGGATTTAAAATCAAAAGACAAACAAAATTACAAAAAGCAATGAGGAAAGAACATTGACTACCACATACAGCAAATGTGAACTAGCACACAACTCGATTTGATTTTTTATTTCCACACAGTCCAACAAGCACAAGGCAAATCATTTTGTAACCAGTGGTCTCCAGTAGGGAGATAAAAGTTGACTTGTATCCCCTTGGTTACCCCTTTTTCTTTCCCTTAGGTGCCCTGTATTTGTTGTATCATTTGTTTCCATTTCGTCTTTTTTTATCATATCCACTTTTCAATTTATAGACTTTATTTTGTTTTGCTTCTGTAGATGTGCTGTGTAGTGTTGCTTGGTCCGACTTGAAGGACTTCACTGACCGCGTGCTTCGCAGCTCAGGACTATGTACTTCAATAAGAATTGAAAGAGTTAATAATCAGTCAATTATTTTCAACGGTAATTAGCAGATAACTTCATTATTTTTAGGCTACGTTCACACGGCACTGGACAAATTATCGACCGTGGGAGAGTCGTGCGTTGAGACGTTTCGTTCACATGGAACCACGCCAAACATACGAAAATTCGGACGCCCAAGAGTTCAAAATTTTGCATACCAAAATTGAGGACGAATTTTTAGCCGCTGCAGTCAATAATTTGACCGCCATGGTGTGAATGTCTTAAACTTAGAAATTTTTGTACTGTGAAGGCGCGGCTGCATGGATGCGTGGTATCTAAGTAAAATAACATGGGAGTTACCACATGACGGTTGACGAACCGGGGAAAAAAAATGTCAGAAATACGAGTGGTCAGCGGTGAATTAGCTTTCATGCCGCATGTAGAAACAAATCATTTGCTGCTCCTGTTAATAATCGTGTTATTTATCCTAAAATGATAACAGTATATAGAATAAGAGAGATGGTAAGTTTTGAGCTCGGTGAATAAATAGAGAAGGATGTTTTTCGTCTTGTCATTAGCGTGGGACAAAGAGAAAATCTTTCCCTATTTCTTTACTAATTTCAAAATTTGCCATCTCTCTTATTCTATTTACCAAATGACATGAGTACAATTTTATGCCAAAATGGAACGCGTTGGTATATTTACTGCGGTGCACGGTAATATTTACAGCTTTATTGCATAATATTATTTCGAAAACGTCTAGGACGTTCAGAGCTTACCATGCAGATAGGCGATGTTGTGTTAAACAAGTTAAAAAACGTCGCTCATCTATCTGAAAATCGAAGAAGTCCAAGCAGCGAAAACACTGGATTAAGAAACCTTCTGCGCATGAGAAGACGGTATAACCACTGACGAATGTCACAAACTTTATCCGGTTATTGGTTCCATCTGAACAGAACGAAACTTTCGCACAGTTCCACGTCAACAGAATATCTGGTCGAAATTTTTGGCCGGTCGAAAATTCGTCCGGTGCCGAGTGAACATAGCCCTAATATTCGAATATTACTAAAGGTAAATCGTTAACCGCGAGAAAAATAGCAACAAAAAGAATCCTGTCACTTGCCGAATACATGACTTGAAACAAGAACAAGAAAAAATAATTTAGGGTAATTCAGGAGTATTGAGTGAGTTGATAACTTAATTAGCCTCCGTAAAGAGTTTAAAAGCTGACGCTTTGAGCGTTAGCGCGAGAGCGACTGGAGCAATTATGGGGTGTGTATGGGTTTGTCTACAAAATATGGAGCTACGCTATTGGTGGGAATATAGTGACGAGAAAACAAGAATAAATTGAATGAAGGTTGTTCGTTGATACCGTAGGGATTAAGAGTGCCGATTTTAAAGACAAATTTTTGTTCTAAAGTTTTGCTACTTTCGAACTGCCTTTATGTAAGGAAAGGCCGCAAACTGCCATATGCTGCTTAGAATGATTAGGGAGATTTAATTGTCTAGCAACTGGTTTGGATGCGTCCTTGTCATTTCTTTCTACGTCGCGAAGGTGTTCTTGGAATCGGTCACCTAATCGTCTTCCTTCCAAGAAACTAGAAGCTTGCCTCACTATTAATTAGATACTTGAAAAAAATGGGACCTCGAGCTTCTTAAGATAACCCTTACATTTTTTCGTGACCACAAAAATATAATCTGCTAAATTTGCGGCCATGAAAGAAGTAAGTAAATATAGTGAATTAAAAAGCTAAGATAGAGATGGGCTAACGACGTAACATCTGACACCTGTCGCCGTTTCGTTCCTAAGTCAACACAGGTATGACAAGTAGAAAACAAAAATTCAAATATTTTTAGAATAACTTTGCATTTGTAACCTGCATTAATTTTGAAATTGGACTTTTTCTCTCAGTTTGCCCGTGTTGATAACAATTCATGGTGTCCCAAGATTCCCATGAATTAGTAATTCACCGTATTATCTGGGTAAGGAAACGAATCTGATCCAAACAACACGCCGGCCAATACGTTGGTAACAGTGTCGGCAAACAATCGGTCGACTGTCCACCGATTATCTGTCGACTTTCGATTTCATATCACTGGTGGTTTATTTAGGTGAAGAGGTTTTTGTTCTGTTTTCTTGTAAAATTTACCTATCAAAACTACAGTTTTCCTCCCTCTTACTTTTAATTCAAATCGCGCAGAAAAACTCGCCTTTTTTTCTCCCTCGTGTGATAAACCTCACAGCTTTCGGGCATTTTACATAATCAGATGCCAGTGATAAATTTTACTCTGTGTAATTGTTATTCAAAAACTAAGGTTTAATTGATCTTGACTTGGAGGGTGCTGTTAAGACGAAATATCCCTCGTTGTAACTAATTATAAGGATAACGACAATAAGATGATGGCGACAACAAATATAACGGGAAGAGGAACACATACGCAAACATTTGACGAATCGCTATGTTCCCCAGTTTGGTTAGGTGAGTTTAAACAGCAGTCCATTTCACTCTCAGCAGTCAACATTCTCCTCTCCATCACAGCAACTCTTGGGAATTCTCTTATCCTTGTTGCCCTTCACAAGGAATCTTCTCTCCATCCGCCATCCAAACTCTTGTATCGTTGTCTAGCAACAACTGATCTTTTGGTTGGTCTTGTTACCCAACCTACCTATGCTGCCTATTGGATGTCCGCGGTTCACGAACACTGGAGTCTTTGCAGATTCTCGTTTTACGCAACCGGCGTAACAGCTTATGTGTTATGTACAGTTTCCATGTTGACGCTGACGACCATCAGCGTGGACCGACTTCTCGCCATGTTGTTGGGACTGAGATACAAAGGCATTGTGACTTTGAGGCGCACATACATCATTTTAGCTATCTTTTGGATTGTATCTCTACTCTCTGGCTTGTTCTTTCATCTTAATTACCGTATAACTTTCTGGATCAGTATTACAGGTGCACCATTATGCCTAGTTATCTCAATCGCCTCGTACACAAAGATTTTCCGCGCTATCAGTCATCATCAGGCTCAAATACAAGATTATGCTCAGCAACAGCCGAGCCAACCAAATGCACTGATTATGGCGCGATACAGAAAGGCAGTATACAGTGCACTCTGGGTGCAATTAGTATTAGTTGTCTGTTATGTACCAAACATAACAGTGGAAATTGTGATATCTTTGAGTTTAAAGGGATTATCGAATTTCATCGTAATCAGGGGAATGGCAAATGTCTTAGTGTTCTTTAACTCTACTTTAAACCCGTTCCTTTACTGCTGGAAGATAAGTGAAGTAAGACAAGCAGTAAAGCAGACAATCAGACAAGCAATCTGCTATACATAGGAGTAGACTTATTTTATTGTTGGCATGTAAATTTTCTCATGTAGATTTTTTGAAAGAATTCCAGACGTTAGGAGAGAGGGGAAGGTAATGAAAAAGGGTAAGGAAAAATATGAAATAAGTAAATTGTATTCGAGTTATCTAACGAACAACTAAAAAGTGAGAAAGTATAGTTTAACAAAACAATTTACGTCTCCAATTCCCGAATTTGTAGTGAAGAGGTGAAGGCTATCAGTTATTTTGGATTTAGAATACGCTCAGAATTTTTCTTTACGATCAAATTTTGATCAGATATACCACTTTTGCTCAGAAATATGGTTTAGTGATAACGAGCTTTGAAAATAGCCGGCCGCTTAATTTTGTTATAACTGGGAATTAGCCATACTGTTTACAACGAAACTAAGATAATTCACGGCGTCCTAAGTTTGCATAAATTATATGCAGTGCACTTTGGTTACAGTTAGCCTTATCTGTTTGTTATGTACCAAACTTAACAGCGCAAATTGTGAATATCTTTGAGTTTAAACCGATTATCTAATTTATCATAATCATAATAATCATTTGCCATAATGGCGAATGTTTTAGCTTTTCTCAACTCCACTTTAAACCCGTTTCTTTACCATTGGAAGATCAAAGATATGAGACAAGCAGTAAAGCAGACAATCAGACAAACAATTTGCCTTGCATAGGTTTCGACCCATTTCGACGTTTACATGTTTCTTCCAAAGCTATTTAACAATCATGTTTGTTACAAGAGAGAAGAGGATATACCATTTAATAAAGAAGAGTGGGGAAAACCATAAAGAGTCACTTCTCATTTTTATATTCAAGTTATCTTAAGAACAACTAAAAGGTAAAACATTAGTTTAGTAATAAGATATATCACAGGAATATCACATGCCGAATGCACACACTTATAATGAAGCAGTGGAGACTATTCTTTTCAAGCAGAATGCGCTGACGATTTTTCTGTTTTGTCAAAGCTGAATGAGATATGTCACTTTGGCTCAGATACACGGTTAAGTGTTAACGGATTGTAACAGGAGCCACGGGCTCGATTTGCTTATAACAAAAATATGTCGACTTTGTTTTCATCTGTTTAAATATTTTGAAGTCAGTTCTTAGAAAATGAGTTGATTATCACTATTTTCACATATAGATTTATCGTTTGAGACCAATCGTTTGCCGGAGAGCAAGTTTGCAAATTATGATAGAGGAAACTTATAATAAGAAATAGAGCCAAGACTCTAACATGGTTGATACGACTAACTGTTTATCAGTCTGTTATCTGCATCAGTTAAGACTGTTTACCGAGTACAAAATTGTAGCCCTCAAAGGGTTATCCATAAATTTCTTTGAGCAAGTAATTTTGAAAGCACCTTTATAACCAAATTCGAATATTCAAGAAGATTTCGTAACTCCACCACAGGCCGTGTACACACAGCTGGTCTTAAGAGAAAACATTCTCTCGTTTTTATGACAATCGAGTACAAAAGCTGCTAACACGCGCTCTTGAATACCTACCACTCCTCCTAACTAAAAGATTTGTATGACAGCTCACCACTGCAATGATCATTTCCGCGCTTGAATTCCATCTGATGGTCAAAAAATTATTTATATCATTAAAGTTCTGAAAACAAAAATAATAGGAATAGGACGTTGTTTTAAAAACTACTACGCTCTAACTTGGTATTTGATTTCACTATATCATCCAGTCTTTTTGATATTATACATGTAGAAAATAGATGGTAAATTTGTGCACGGTACTGAACTAGAGAAAATATCTCCGTTATTGTAGAAAATTGTTAAATTGTAGTCCTCAGAAGGTTATCCATAGATTTCTTTGAGCAAGTAATTTTGAAAGCTCTTTTATCACCTAATTCGAATATTCAAGAACATGTCATGCCTTGTATACACAGCTGGTCTTATGAGAAAACATTCTCTCATTTTAATGACAATTGAGCAAAAAAGCTGCTAACACGCGCCCTTGAACACCTACTACTGCTCCTAATTTAAAGATTTGTATGACAGCTCACCACCGCAAGGACCCTTTCCGCGCTTGAATTCCATCTGATGGTCAAAAAATTATTCATGTCTTTAAAGTTCTGAAAAAAGAATAAGTATAGTGGAAGGAATAGGACTTTGTTTTAAAAATTACTGCGCTCTAAAATCTTTTATGTGGTTCCCTTTCACGCTTCCCTTCCGTCCTCAGAACCGTTACGAATATCACAGAATGAATAACAGGTTGTATGCGAATTTTCGATCAATAAATAATATGAGGAAATTAACGTTGCCATAAATAAAGGTATATCTCATAGACAAAATGAAACTTCAATAAATCTACTTTGTCTTGATGAGTCATCAGCTAAGTCGGGCAAGCCAAGCTGAACCTGATCTTTGAACAGAATGTGATGAAATGATGATGGCTATTAAGCAGAACTCATATTTAGTTGCTGTTGTTATCACTAACCTTTTCCAGGCGTTCATTTAGTAAAACGGAGCAAATGGCACACTACACGATAGCAGCGATAAAGTGAAAAAACGGGGGAGAATGGGGTCGGGTCGGATCGGGTTGGTTCGCGTCAGGTGAACGCCGTTCTTAACTCGACTCGACCCAAGCCTCACTTTTTTTCCGCTCTGCCGTGACTATCGTGCCGTTTACTGTGCACTTCGTTTTACAACATGAACGCCTCGAACAGGCTATGTTATCACTCAATAAGCTGTCAAAAAAAAAACTGATAACAATAATAAAGCTGTGATGCAGAATACAATCACTACTACATATATTTTCTTCGATTCAGTAGTGGAGCCACTTATTACGAAAAAGGAATCGAGAGTTAGACAAAATAAATGAAATCACCTGTCGTATATATAACAACTTTAATTTTTACCACGGTAATGTTTTGCAATCAAATAATGACTCAACAAAAAAGATTGACTTACCTTAATAGTTTATAAAGCAAACAATATTTGTAGCTTTATGCTTTACACTTGTGAAATGATTGAATATTTTATTCCGTAGCAAAACCGTATTGTAGAATAAACGTTACTGCGATAGCTCGAAAAAAAACAAAAAATAAAACAAAACCTTGGCTTAAATAACATAGTACTGGTGACGATAGATTTATTCAAACGAAGTCTTCAAACTGCTTCCTGACCGAGACACATCTACGCTGCAACCTTTTTGTTTTTCAGCTTGCCGCATGCATTTAATCATAATTCTGACAAGCGGCGAGATCATAGCGTTGGCATAAGCACTTCGTAATCTGTCAATAGCTTTCAGCGAACGTTTTACTTAGTCATACACTGATTTTTTTTCCACCACATATTTTAAAACAATTGTCACAGGGGGTATAAATTTGTCCCTGTTATACGATGCCATATCCAATATGTGGTTTACAAATTTGATAGACAGGTAACTAAGACAAACAGCATTGTTCAGTAGCAAAATTCCACCTCAAAACAAGAGATAATTTGCACACAGAGTGTCTCCCGTAGGAGGAATATTTGAATTATTTATGATCTTTTGAACAACATTTCCATCCTTGGATCTATCTAGAGACCTTTTAGGGTATAACGGCAGAATAAATTGTCGTAGGATTTCTTTTCGCTGAACAACTGATTCTCTTTTCGTATGGTTACTTAATGCAAATTACACATGCCGACCTATGGGGAAATTTTAATTTGTTCTGTGGCACGAAAGGCTCTTGAGATCGTTTGCGCATTTCAAATAGGGTAAATGATACCGTTTAAATGCTTGAGTATATATATGCATTGTTAAAAGATGAGATTTAAGCCACAGTGGATGTGAAGTTGTCGTGAAGGCGAAATATCTCTGTTATATCCAGAGAAAAGTAGATACTGATGATGTCGACCACAAATTTAACAGCAATCGAAAGGCAAGCAAAAACATTTAAAGACCTGATTTGCTCGCCATCATTGGCAGGTGGATTGCAACAACAATCAATTTATTTCACGGCAGTTCACATTCTCCTCTCGCTCATGGCACTTTCTGGGAACTTTCTCATCCTTGTTGCCCTTCACAAAGTATCTTCCCTTCATCCGCCGTCCAAAGTCTTGTATCGTTGTTTGGCAGCAACTGATCTGTTAGTTAGTATTGTTAGCCAGCCTTTCACTGCCAGTTATTGGATGTCCTTGGTTCACGAAGAGTGGTATCTTTGTCGATTCGCATACGAGGCAACTTACATAACAACCTATGCATTATGTTTAGTGTCTTTGTTGACAACGGCGGCCATAAGCGTGGACAGACTTCTCGCCCTGTTGTCGGGGCTAAGATACAGACAAATTGTAACTTTAAAGCGCACGTACTTCATGGTAGCAACCTTTTGGGTACTGTTTGTCGTCGCTTGTTTATGCTATATTTTAGACTACCGAATAGATATGTGGTACAACCGTATAATTATACCATCTTGCCTAATAATCTCAGTGGCCTCGTACACAAAAATATTCTGCGTTCTCAGTCATCACCAGGCTCAAGTACAAGGTTTTATACAACAACAGCAGAACCAGCCAAATGCACTAAACATGGCGCGATACAAAAAGGCAGTTTACAGTTCATTATGGGTGCAGTTAGTATTAGTGAGTTGTTACGTGCCAATAGGTGTATCGGGAATTGTTATTGCATCTAGTAATACATACTCGTCGAATTTAATTGTCACCTGGGGAGTGGCACTTGTTTTAGTTTATTTTAACTCGGCTTTAAACCCCGTCCTTTACTGCTGGAGAATCAGTGAGATGAGACAAGCAGTAAAGCAGACAATTAGCCAAGCATTGTGCTGTCCATTGAATTAACTCTCCTCTGACTTACACATGTATCAATCCTGAAAAGCTGATGTAAGAAATTATCAAAAGCACGGCCATTAGTGTTTGTCTCTTGAAAATTGTTCTCCCCCCTTACCTTGATATGAAATTTGCGTAATGAAAATAAAAATACAATTTTCTACTTAAAACAAATCTTTAAAACTTACAAAGAATGAAGGATG